TGCTCCTGGCACAAGCAGCTACTTTGGTTTTCAAGTTCACATCCGGAAGGTTAAAACGGCACTGTCATGCCGAATCCTGTTTTTTTTTTTTTTAACCCCCCTCCTGCCTCCACTACATCTAACTCACACCCTAGTCACCTCCAAATGCCCCTAAGCCCCCCGCATTACCTATTTTTTATTCCTTATTTTCTGCCCCAATGCGAACGGGAATTTCATCTATTCATTAATTCATCAGAAAGACGAATGAATGAATAGAAATATCAGCCGAACAAACAAACACTGAGTCTCACTGTTCGTTTGTTTGTTCAGTTTATTACAAGGAGCGAGCTACCGGCATGCAGCTCCCTCCTTGTAATATGTAAAGATAGAAGTGGCAGGGAGCAGTGCTCCCCACCACTTCATAAGCCCCCCCAGGCCTCCCCTCACTGTAAAAACACAACTATTGGCCCCCACCCCTAAACGACGGATGGGGGCCCTAAAGTAAAATAACCTATTGTCGTCGTCCCCCTGCGCGGTGGGTGGGGGCCATATTGATAATGAGGGGGGAGGGACCTACTGTCCACTCCCCCCTCCGGCCCCCACCCCTGGGCGGCGGGTGGGGGCCATAAATATAACGAGGGGGGGGACCTACTGTCCTCCCCCCCCGCCCCTGGGCGGCGGGTGGTGTCCAAAGATAACGAGGTCGGGGGGAACGGGACCTACTGTCCTCCCCTCCTGCCCCCACCCCTGGGCGGCGGCCAAATGATGAGGGGTGACCTACTGTCCTCCCCCCCCCGGGGCTGCGGTTGGGGGCCCTAAGTAAATTCCCCCCCCCCCAAATAAAAAGTCCCTACCTACCCCCCTCACCCTAAAAAATAGTGAGGGGGAATAAAATAAACTAACCTGTAAAATAAAATTAAACTTACCATTCGATGTCTTCTTTTTTCTCAAATCTTCATTTTTCAGCACCAAAAAAGGCCAAATAAAAAAAACCATCATAACCGTCGAACCCAGGGGTGGGGAGGACAGTAGGTGTCCCCCCCTCATTATCTTTATGGCCCCCACCTGCCGCCCAGGGGTGGGGGCCGGAGGGGGGTGGACAGTAGGTCCCCCCCCCTCATTATCATTTGGCCCCCACCCGCCGCCCAGGGGTGGGGGCCGGAAGGGGGGTGGACAGTAGGTCACCCCCCCTCATTATCATTATGGCCCCCACCTGCCGCCCAGGGGTGGGGGCCGGAGGGGGGTGGACAGTAGGTCCCCCCCCCTCATTATCATTTGGCCCCCACCCGCCGCCCAGGGGTGGGGGCGAGGACAGTAGGTTCCCCCCCACCCATTGTCTTTATGGCCCCCAACCGCCGCCCAGGGGCGGGGGCCGGAGGGGGGGTGGACAGTAGGTCCCCCCTCTCATTATCATTTGGCACCCACCCGCCGCCCAGGGGTGGGGGCCGGGAGGACAGTAGATCGCCGCCCAGGGGTGGGGGCAGGGAGGACAGTAGATTCCCCCCCCTCATTGTCTTTATGGCCCCCACCCGTCGCCCGGGGGTGGGGAGTAGGTCCCCCCATCATTATCATTATGGCCCCCACCCGTCGCCCGGGAGTGGGCAGTAGGTCCCCCCCCTCATTATCATTATGGCCCCCACCCGCCGCCCAGGGGTGGGGCAGTAGGTGTCCCCCCCTCCCCCATTATCATTATGACCCCCCACCCACCGCGCAGGGGTGGGGGCCGGGGGGGACGACTTTAGGTCCCCTTATTTTACTTTAGGGCCCCCACCTGTTTAGGGGTGGGGGCCAATGAACACAGTGAGGCATTATGGCCCTACCATGTATAGCGGTAGGCATTATTTACTAATACTAGTAACCTTTACTTAGTATTAGTAAATGTGGCTGAAAGACCAATTTAGGTCTTTCAGCCTTTTAGTAGATAGCTCCCTGATACCGTGAGAATTAGGGAGTTATCTACTAAGCGGCTGCAAGATGCAGCCACAGCAAGAATAGGATCGGAGTTTAATTCATTCGAATGAAATTCCGATCCGAATAAAGTGCCGAATTGCGTTCTAAAACAAACGAAGATACTGTTCTCATTCAGTTAGAACGCAATTCGGCAGTTTAGTGTAAAATGACAGGAAGCATCGCGCAATCACAGAGAAAAGCTAAGGATCATGGGAAAATTGCTCTGACCAGCAGAAATGAAGCAACCTTTGCTCCTCCGCTGGTCAAGCGGAGGAATCCTCCATAAGGCAAAGAGTCCCTACTTTGTTTTATGATTTTAAAGAAAACTAAAGAAGACAGGAAGAAAAGAAGAACAGATCCTGAGAGAGGGGGGGGAAGAGGAAGAGATTGAGGAAAGGTAAATTCGGCATGACAGTGCTGCTTTAAAGTCACCCATGATGATAACTTTCCCCTTTGTCATTTTAGCTAGTTCCTCAACTAGTAAATTATCTAACTCTATTTGTCCTGGGGGCCTTTAAATCACACCTACACGAGTTACTGTGTGATTACCAAATTCTAATGTAACCCAAACTGACTATATTCGCCACACTAACATTAGGCTAGATTTTATGCTATCCTTCACATCCACCCATCCCCCTTTCTTGCCTTCTGTCTTTTCTATATAAAGAATACCCTGGTATTGTTATGTTCCAGTCATTTTTCTCATTATACCATGTCTCAGTAACAGGGACTAAGTCTACATTATCAGTTGCCATTATTGCCACAAGCTCATGGATTTTATTCCCTAAACTGCGAGCCTTTGTAGACAGGACTAAGCTTATTTTTTAAGCCAAATCCTTGCTCCCAACACCATTTACCAAGCCACAACTTAAAGGACCACTCTAGGCACCCAGACCACTTCAGCTTAATGAAGTGGTCTGGGTGCCTGGTCCAGCTAGGGTTAACCCATTTTTTTTTTTTTTTTATAAACATAGCAGTTTCAGAGAAACTGCTATGTTTGTGAATGGGTTAAGCCTTCCCCCATTCCCTCTAGCGGCTGTCTCATTGACAGCCGCTAGAGGCGCTTGCGTGTTTCTCACTGTGATTTTCACAGTGAGAGCACGCCAGCGTCCATAGGAAAGCATTGATAATGCTTTCCTATGTGACCGGCTGAATGCGCGCGCAGCTCTTGCCACGCGTGCGCATTCATCCGACGGGGAGGAGAGAAGGAGGAGAGCTCCCCGCCCAGCGTTGGAAAAAGGTAAGTTTTTACCCCTTTCCCCCTTCCAGAGCCGGGCGGGAGGGGGTCCCCTCAGGGAACTATAGTGCCAGGAAAACGAGTATGTTTTCCTGGCACCATAGTGGTCCTTTAAAGTCCCTAGTACGCATCATTCTGAGTGTTATGCACAAGCAGAACTTCAGAGAATGACAGTGTGGAAGCAACCTGCCGTATATCATCGGCAAAAACAACTTCCTTTACCTCTGAAACCGATTTGCAAGCCATTAAAAATATGACATCTCACAAGACCACTATCGTCCAGCTCCACACCTCTTATGATAGAATCCCCCAACAACAACTGCTTTCTATCAGGCCTCACCTTGTCCTTTTTGTCATAGGTTGGTTTCACAAACTTGGTGCCTGAGCCTGTCTCCACAACACCACTACACTCGGTGCCTGCGCCTGTCTCCACAACACCACTACACTCGGTGCCAGCGCCTGTCTCCACAACACCACTACACTCGGTGCCAGCGCCTGTCTCCACAACACCACTACTCGGTGCCTGCGCCTGTCTCCACAACACCACTACACTCGGTGCCTGCGCCTGTCTCCACAACACCACTACACTCGGTTAAGCCTTCCCCCATTCCCTCTAGCGGCTGTCTCATTGACAGCCGCTAGAGGCGCTTGCGTGCTTCTCACTGTGATTTTCACAGTGAGAGCACGCCAGCGTCCATAGGAAAGCATTGATAATGCTTTCCTATGTGACCGGCTGAATGCGCGCGCAGCTCTTGCCACGCGTGCGCATTCATCCGACGGGGAGGAGAGAAGGAGGAGAGCTCCCCGCCCAGCGTTGGAAAAAGGTAAGTTTTTACCCCTTTCCCCCTTCCAGAGCCGGGCGGGAGGGGGTCCCCTCAGGGAACTATAGTGCCAGGAAAACGAGTATGTTTTCCTGGCACCATAGTGGTCCTTTAAAGTCCCTAGTACGCATCATTCTGAGTGTTATGCACAAGCAGAACTTCAGAGAATGACAGTGTGGAAGCAACCTGCCGTATATCATCGGCAAAAACAACTTCCTTTACCTCTGAAACCGATTTGCAAGCCATTAAAAATATGACATCTCACAAGACCACTATCGTCCAGCTCCACACCTCTTATGATAGAATCCCCCAACAACAACTGCTTTCTATCAGGCCTCACCTTGTCCTTTTTGTCATAGGTTGGTTTCACAAACTTGGTGCCTGAGCCTGTCTCCACAACACCACTACACTCGGTGCCTGCGCCTGTCTCCACAACACCACTACACTCGGTGCCAGCGCCTGTCTCCACAACACCACTACTCGGTGCCTGCGCCTGTCTCCACAACACCACTACTCGGTGCCTGCGCCTGTCTCCACAACACCACTACACTCGGTGCCTGCGCCTGTCTCCACAACACCACTACACTCGGTGCCTGCGCCTGTCTCCACAACAGGATGAAGTAAAACTTTTTATTGAGAAAAATTACACACTTTTATACCTGGTTACTCAACAGAAGGTCTCCAGGAGAACAATACATACCTGGCGCCTAGGTGTCTGTACCTGACCAGAAAATGTAATTAACTGCCAGACACCTTGGCGCTGATTAATAAATAAATAAAAAAAAAAGTTCCCACGCCCAATTCCCCAAACAAATGTTGTCCCTGGAAAGCCATCTTCTCAGCATCCACTCTGTCAAAAAAGATTTTTTTTGCCCATCCTCCGATCCGGCTTAGAGTTTCATATCGCAGGGTGGAAAACCCCTGATTTCTCTTTCAGTGGGTACATGGAGCTCCCTCATGTCCTGAGTACCGTTAAATGCCTCACCAACTCTTCTTCCACCCCTCCAAATTGCGTTCTTATAGATGACTGGAAGCACCCTTAACAAAAGTTTTGACAGACAGTTTCTATTCCACGATCCAATCAGGAGTTCCAGAGAAGTTGGAGGTCACACCCGATTAGGCGCGTTGTGCCTGTGCAACCTTTTGGGGCCACTGGGCTGGGAGGCACCGACTAGAGGAGCAATTGAAGTAAAGATCTCTTTTAGAGGGAGATGCTGGTTGGGAGTCATTTACCATTACTGGGTGACCTGGTGGTCTGTCACAAGCATCTCTGTTTCTCTAGCTATATACATACACCTTATTTTAGCAGCTGGATCAGACAATTACATGGTTAAAGGACCTCTCCACACTCGGGAACAGATTTAGTAGATATACCACCAATAAATAAATGCATGTATATTTTTATGTATGTATTCATTGGGCATATAGTCTAAAACAGCTTGCAAAAGCTGCAGTTCTTATGACTGCAGCCTTTGTAAGCCCTCCCCTTTTTCACAGGAAGTGACCTTCAGTCACTTTCCAGGGACTTGTCCAATCAGAAACTTCTCACAGAGAAGCCTCTGCTCCATTCTACTTCAGGTGTCTTCCCTCCCCCCAATCCTACCTTGTGTCTTAAACCCCTCCCCTGCTGACCTTTAGTTGCCGATCTGTGGGTAGAGGATCTTTAGTTTCCTCTACCCAGAGTGATAGGAACTGAGAACACTTTGTGTTAGTCTCGGTATAGGAAACTAGATATCCTCTACCCACATATCGGCAACTACAAGTTTAGCAGGGGAGGAAGGAGGCTCTGACACAGGGATGGAGACGGGACAGATGTTGCAAGAACTGACAGGCAGGAGAGGAGTGCTACCTGTCCTGCCTGTCACCTGGGCAGTTCTTACAGCCAATATTGTAAGGCAGGCACGCTCTACTAGAACGTGTTCTGCTACTTCTGTTAGCTCAGTGTAGCTAAAGGAAGTGAATATCCTCAGCTGTTTGACAGCTGGGAAGGCATTTCTATTTACAGATATAAAAGTGCTAATTTCACAATGAAAAATTGGCACTTGATAAATGGGGATTCTAAAGGGATACTCCACATCGACGTAGCTATTCAGCAAGCTAAATGCTCTATGGGTGTGGAGTGCTCCTTTAAACAGTTAAAAGGGACTCTCCAGTGCCAGGAAAACAGTCCCCTCTCCCTCCCACCCCCCATCCCAAGTTGCTGAAGGGGTTAAAACCCCTTCAGTGACTTATCTGTATCCAGCGCCGATGTCCCTCAACGCTGGTTCAGGGTCCACCCATGCTCCTCCCCCGCCAAGGGAGACCTATTGTGCATGCGTGGCCGCCGGGGGGAGACCTAATGCGCACGCGCAGCAATGCTGTGCACGCACATTAGACCTCCCCATAGGAAAGCATTGAAAAATGCTTTCAAAGCTTTCCTATGGGGATTTCAACGATGCGGACGTACAGTGACGCTATAGCACACAAAATGTGTGCTATAAACCCGCAGGTGCCCTCTAGTGGCTGTCTAGTAGACAACCACTAGAGGAGGAGCTAACCCTGCAAGGTAAATATTGTATTTTATGAAAACTGCAATATTTACTGTTGCAGGGTTAAGGGTAGTGGGAGTTGGCACCCAGACCACTCCAATGGGCAGCAGTGGTCTGGGTGCCTGGAGTGTCCCTTTGACAGTGTAACGGTGTAATAGTCGAAGCTAAGATGGTGCCTGTTCGACACTGCTACCAAAACAACTGAGCTGAACCTATTATTGGAGTATGAATGTTCCCTTGAGAACAATTGAATACTTATAGGGTTATTCACTAAAGTAAGAATGCAAAGTGAATTTCAAATTCAAAATAGCTGAAGTGGAAAAATTCTCTGTCAGCTATGCTTTCAGTTCAGCTACTGAAAGAAAAAAAAAAAAAAAGGACAATAAAATAAAGCCTATGCTGTTCGATGGGACACTATTTACTGATTGACACCCTGAGCTAAGGCAACATGTCCCTGCTTGGTAGAATAACCCAGTATAATGAACTTCATCTTACCAGCTCATACTAGACCCTGACAGAGAAAGGAGTCACACCGTGCACAGAACAGCTCTCTAGTAATGGAGCAGTGACTGACTGTCTGTCTGTCTGTCCTCACAGGTAGTGTTCTCGCTGTAATACAGTCTCCCGGTGTGATCTATACCCGACCCACCCCTGGCAACCCCCGTCGCCGCCGCTACCGCTACCGCAACTAAGCTCGCTCCACATTCAAATCTCAACGACTAGCGCGCGCTGCGCTCCTTCTCCACGCTGCACGAGAGCGCGCACGCAACGTGCGCCAGGCCCAAGCCAGCGGGAGAGGATTGCCGAGCCACGGCCTGAGCGGTGAGATGGCGGGCAGTGTGTAACGCGGGGTACGCAGCGCACTCTCACTCCGTTACACGGCTGGAGGAGAACCTTTAACGCTATGAGAGGGGAGGGGGAGGGAGTTACGGCACGTTGTGCGTTGATAGAAAGCGGGGAGCGGGTTGCTAGGCGGTATTTACTGACTAGGGCTGTGTGCGCTGGGCATTATGGGATATGTAGTGCAGGGTAGCTGGTGTGCTCACGGTCCGAGGTGGGGGTTGCATTGCATAATACTGTGTGTGTGTCAGTCTCTGTCCTACATACCCCGTGATTGCAGTCACTATTAATATCAGAAGGAATGAGGACACTGGTTATCCTCAGTATTGATGATTGGAGAATGAGCATTTAATTAAAGGACTACTGTGTTGTGATTAGGATTGATGTATCAGTAAGTCAGTATTATAAGGTTCAGGCCTCGCTGCTTTGTGGTGACGGTAGAAGTGTATCAATAAAGGAATAAATTATGTTAGCGAATGTCCAAAAATTAACACTACAGAAAAAAAAGAGCAGCAATAAATTTCAATGTTCTGTTTGCTATTTTGTATCCGTCTTCTATGAGTCTAAAACAAGTTATAAGCATGCGTGTAATATGCATAAGGCTATCCTAACTATAAGATAAGGCCAGGGACTAATGAAAGTATTTAAAACATTGGGCAGACTAGATGGGCTGAATGGTTCTTTAGTGCCTTCACATTCTATATTTTGTTCCTAAAAAGGCAAACATTGCTGTTTGTGCTTGACTGGATCCATTACTACATAATACACTGCATAATTCAGCTGTCTGCTGTTAAAGGGACACTATACTGTAGTCACCAGAAGAACTATAGCTTGTTGCATTTGTTCTGGTGAGTAGAATCATTCCAGGCTTTTTGCAGTAAACACTGTCTTTTCAGAGAAAATGCAGTGTTTACATTACAGCTTTGTGATAAATCAGTTGGCTACTCCTCAGATGGCTGCTACATGTGCTTCCTGGGGCACTGTTGCACAATGAGCAGTACAGCCATTCAGTGTCTCCACCCTTTGCATGCAGACACTGAACTTTCCTAATATAGATGCATAGATTCAATTCAACTCCATGAGGAGATGCTGATTGGCCAAGGCTATGCTTGACTTGTGCTGGCTCTGCCTGTGATCTGCCTCCTTGACAGTATCAGCCAATCCTATGTGAAAGCATTGTGATTGACTCAGACCACCACTTCTGATGATGTCAGCAGTCAGGTCAGAGGCAGCAGCTGCAGTCTTAAATACAAGTAAGATTGTATTAAACTTAGGGAGGCAAGAGTGTGGTGGTGGGGAGAGGCCTAGATGGTGGTTTTAACACTATATGGTCAGGAATATACCTTATAGTGTTCATTTGAAGAATGAGGAAAACCTATTTTAATGTTATGTTTGGGTGAATGAGCTACTGAACAAGGTACTGTTAGTCCATGCATACATGCCCATGATGTCAAAAATTACAGGGAAGTAAAAGCCCTGTAGCATATTGCCACTGGAGTCAGCATAATGAAATAGAGTTGTTATTCTGCCAATCCTTTCACAGCAAGGGCGGAATACAGAAATGTCTATAGACTGGTGTTTCACCAGTATAACATCCACAGAGCTGTGGTGCTAGAGCAATAACTCTAAATTTTCTGTTAAATTAAACTTAATTTTTATTTATGTGAACAAGTATATATGTTCATAACCTTTGGGATTCAGTCAAAGGGGCCTGTATCACTTGACATCAATTTTTTTTTATTTATTTTTTTAAACCAGCAAACAAACCAAAATAAAGCAAGAGAAACTTTGCAAAGTATGTAATAAATGTTTAAAATATACTATAATCTTTGTCAGATTGCATTATTGGAGATGCCTCTCAGCTGGGGAAGTTTCTTAAGCTACCTTCCCTTACCAATCCATCTCAATTTCAGACCAATCCATTAATGATAGAAACAGAGCATCATTATGCAGCAACAGGAGAGAGAAACCCAACACTTGAGCCTGCAGATGTCTACATCTGCCCATCATGCCTACGCACGTTTTCAGCATTTTTAGGGATAGGACACTGATTGGTTAGATCAGTTTCCCAGATATAGTGGATGTGGAAAGCATACGAAAGAAGAAGCAGGTAAATGTGAAAAAAAAATCAAATTTACCTGCTTTTTTTAAAGCCTGTAGAGTGAGGAAACTGTCTCATTCACAGCTAATGCTTTTTAAGTGAACCTGTCATTGCTTTAAATATTATTAAGCAACTACTTCCTACCTTATGCCGCAGAACTATCTCATTTAGAACGCCATGCTGGTTTCATTGTATCAGAGTTATTTAGTTAATCTGTTCCTATATTCCAAATCAAGTGCAATGAAATCATAGTAGATACAGATCACACTGAGCGTGAAATTTTGTTGTTTTGTGGGAGAACCATGTAGACATGTCCTTTTGTCTCAAAACTCCGTTCAGTGCATGAAGGACTCTGGCGAGAATGGTTTAGCAAATGAGGTGAAGGACCATAATGGTAAATTGTTAAAAATGTATAGTTTTGTCAACATTTTTCCTAGCACAATGCTAGGACTTTTGTTTCTTTCTTAGAGCGTACCTTAACATACTCATGACAGTTACACTTTTATTTGAAGTGTTTGCTTAGATATAGAGCACAGCTTGAACCTATGAGACAATGGAAGAAGAAAAAATAAGATACAGTAAAATTCAGAGTTAATTTTATTATTATAAATAATTCCCATAAACACAAATGGTTCTTGCAATTAACATGATACACGTACTAGTGGTGACCAAAAGGTAGATCCCCAGATGTTGCAGAAATACACTCCCATGATGCTTTACATTCTATTAGAATGCCTTTAGATTGACAAGCATTATGGAAGCTGTAGTTTTAAAACATCTGGGGATCTACCTTTTGGGCACCCCTGTTTTAGACTGTTATATGAGAATATAGGTATATTACAATGTTTATACCTATTAACTTTCCATCTGGTGGTCCAGGATTCACGTATACATGCCAAATCAATTCTTCCATATCTTTAATCGTATAAAATCACAAAAAGAACACAACATAGTATAAAACCAACAACACCAATAAAATAGGAACGATAATTGAACTCAAAAACGTGGTACCATGAAAAGAGGTCAGTAGGGCATAACACAGGGAAGTAAAAGCCCTGTAGAATATCGCAGATATGTCTCTGGAAACGGTTTCAGACGTACCTGCAATATGCTATAGGGCGTATACTATGTTGCATTCTTTTTATGATTTTAAGTGATTTAAAGATATGGAAGAATTGATTTGACATGTATACGTGAATCATGGACCACCAGATGGAAAGTTAATAGGTATAAACATTGTAATATACCCATATTCTCATTTCACCTTGACTGCACCACACCATTTCTTTCTTTGTTTTTATATATATCAGGGTTTTCGGAGTTTACCGGGGTATTGGTGTTCAGGGTGAACACTATTATTGTTTATATCTTTTAGACGGTTATATGTCTGTAGGAAAAATAGCTAGTTTGTATCTCAGTGGCAAATAACAGGCTAGGGTGTCTTTGTGCAAAACATTTGTGTGCGCATTATATATTAGCCAGTTAAGGACCAAATTTAGTCTTTTTTACCATCATCACAGTCTGGTCACTAAATAACCTGGAGCAGTATGAAATGCCCTATCTATTCAAGCGTCACTGACACCCCTTTTCAAATTGAATGTAGACCACTTGCCAAGTGTAACCAACCCCTCTGTCTCAAATACCACGTATGAACAGCAGCCATGATTCCCACATATTGGGTGAGATCTAAGCCAGGATAACAGTATTCTAAACACATTTCTGCAGCAAAAGGATGATGAAGCTAATTTTCATTTGAATAGCTTCGTCAATAAGTAAAGCTGTTGTATCTGTGGTACAGAAAATCCACTGACTCAGTAATTTTCCTACGTCTGACACACTGGTACCGCTGTCTGGAAGTGTCACTGGGAATTGGCCCCGTCTATGGAGCATCCTGCGGATCCTACATAGACTTTCATGTTGTTTTCTTGCGTGAGAGTATAACAGTGATGTCGACTCCTGGCTCTGAAGCACCAAGAGCAGAAGAGGACCATCTGAATGATGCAGGGGGCAGGTTCACGAAAGTTAAAGTCACCTTTGCCTGCCACCACCGTGTGACAAAGTCAGGAGACTGGGATGTTGGCTTATTTTGCAAAGACCCTCGATGATGACAGTGCTCCTGATATTTCATCCACCAGAAGCCCCCATCAAAATGTTGTATTCTCGCACATGAGCAACAGTGCAACACTGCTGTTTTTAGAGGATCCCACAAGAGTCTCCATAGAAATTCTCACAACGACTGTGGAAAATGGTAAAATGTGACAGCAGCAGCTATTTGTCAAGGTAGTAGTTGTTACTACTTTGTCTTTTGACTTTATTGGAATTACAATGACATTCCAATACAGTCTTTATACATAAAGATTTTATCTTTTTGAAATGCTCAAAATATTTGGAGCTGCTTAACCCCTTAAGGACCAAACTTCTGGAATAAAAGGGAATCATGACTTGTCACACATGTCGTGTGTCCTTAAGGGGTTAAAAGTAACACATCTTGTATAGACCAAAATTGGTCTTTAATTAAGGGTTTCCATTTATGACTATACTGTCCCTGTGCAAAAGGATGAGTTGCCCTTTCTCCTGTATACCAGTTCATCCACTCACCTGCTTTATGACAAATTGGAAAACAGTCTGAGAGTCAGACATATTTAGGAGCTAAATTGATCTTCAGACAAGCCAGTCTAGGAATTTTGGTATCAATTTAATATTGTTGGATATACTTTTTTATAAGCTTTTTGAGATTCAGATTTTTGGATGAACTTTCAAAATTAAGAAAAACATTAAAATTTTTTAATTGTTTTATAGTTTTTTGATATAATTTTTATATTTAAAATATTTTTGCACACAAAAAAAAACATTTTAAAAGTTTATCCAAAAATATTACACCGTTTAAAAAGCTTATCCCAAAATATTAAAATTGTTTGAATTCTGTAAAATAAAATTAGACAGAATATTTCAAATGTTAAGAGTGAATGTTTGTGCCTTGTATACCTCTGTAAAATCAGTGTATTATTTTGTAAATATTATAGTTTCTCTTTTTTTTATTTTATAAATTAGGTTTTGAAGTTTTGCGGCCCTTGGGCCGTTCCCTTCAGAAGTGATCATAATGTCACACAGAGGAGGTGATCGAGACTTGCAGTCTTCAGCTCGCAGGATGGGTACCTCCCTGCTGTTCCAGCTGTCTGTGCATGAACGAGAGCTGGATCTAGTATTCCTGGATCACAGCTATGCTAAGCCTTGGAGTGCTCACCCAGATGCTAGCAATGCCCGTCCAACACGCACCCTCTTTATCACACCTCGGAGGCAGCAGGAAAGTACATTGTAAGTCCAATGCTTCCTTAATCTTCTATATCAAAACAGCAGAATGTAGTACTGTTGAATCTCTGTATTGCTTCTCTATCCCACAAATATAAAAACACAGATAACTTGGTAAACTCATATGTGGTAAAGTTTAAAGTTTCCTCTCTGACTGCCTAGCTGATTCCTCATAGACTGGTCATGAAAGGTGGTTTACTTGCTGTTATTAAATGCAGCAAGTAAATGTGATTCCTATGTACCTTTCCCATAAGTCCTGCATAGCAATATTCAGAGTATAAATGACAATTAAATGCTAGTTTAAACGTCATCATTGCACCGTTTGCATTTTATCTTTTTTTTTTTATGGAATTATGATAGAGCTGTTAATGTATATGATGGAAACTTGTCCATATTTTTTATAAGGTCATATTAAAGGGACACTGTAGGCACCCAGACCACTTCAGCTAACTTAAGTAGTCTGGGTGCTGTGACCCTTTTACATTGCAGCTCTAAGTCTGCTCTCTGTGGCTGTCTACCAGACAGCCACTAGAGGGCTTCTGGAATCCAAACAGACTTCTAGTCTGTTATCTGATGCTGGACTTCCCCACGCTCTGCATGAAGACCTCAAGCAACAGATTTTCCCCATAGGAAAGCATTTTTCATTGAATAATGCTTTCCTATGGAGAGGTCTAATGCACGTGCGGCCGTTGCCATGTATGCGCATTAGGTCTCCCCGATATCGGCAGAGGAGTGTGGGCGGAGCTTGACCCAGAGGGTCATCGGTGCTGGATTCATGTAAGGGGAGGGGAGGAACTATAAACCCTATAGGGCCAGGAAAACGGTTTTGTTTTTCTGGCACTATAGGATCCCTTTAACCCCTTAAGGACACATGGCATGTGTGACGTCATGATTCCCTTTTATTCCAGAAGTTTGGTCCTTAAGGGGTTAAGCAACATAAAACAACTTAGTGTAGTAGTTATGTTGTGGCTTTTATATTTGTCTAAAAGTGTTTGCTTGATGGCTTAAAAAAATAATTGTCAAGTGATGCATGTCCCTTTAAAGCCTTCATTGAAAGTTGTCTGATCCTGACAGTCGATTTGAACACTACATCAACAGGGGAGTCCTCCTCTCAATATTACCCTAATGATAATTAAAGGGAAACCCCAGACCTCTAAAGCATTTTAGCTTGCTGAAATGCTTTGTGTAAAGAGTGCCCTCCTTTTTTTTTTTTGCATCAGTACATTTTTTTATGGAAATTTATACTTTTACAAATTTACCTGGTTCCACCCCCTGGCTTTGAAGCAGAGAACAGTCAATGTTACTTCCAGGTTGGGTTGCCCAGAGCACTTGCAAAGACTTCTCATTGAGCTGCATTGTAAAGTCTGTGATTGGAAAGCCACAGAAAGTCTGGGCAGGATAAGAAGGGGAGGGATTAAAAAAGCTTCAGACAAGAGAAATACAGGTTTTGCAAGCTGTTTTTAGATATCCCCCTATGAAAAAATGCATATTTAAATGCATGCAAATTTTAATTTAGGGTACATCTATTAAACAGGGATTTTTATTTATTTTGTATTTGGCAAGTTGAATGTCTATTAAAATTACTCCAATCTTACCAACTGACCTATTAATGGAGTGAGATATGTTTGGACATACAAAACTATACTTTTTTTTTTTACTTTGAACTCCGACTTGATTTTTTTTTATTAAAGTAATTTTTATTCTCATACATGTGGCAAAATACATGGTACAGTTTGGATATTCTTATGGTATAATGTCATTGGTACAGTTAAGAACATTCCATGCATTGGTGGTTACAACATTACAGCATTTAAACATTGTTTGTCACATTGTGTCTATATTACCATATGTATATAAGGCACTCATGGCCTTCTGATATAGTTCTCACATGCTGTGACGTTTTCTTATATCAACATCTAACAAACTCAACAATAGGGATGGGGGGTTACTAAAGGATAAAGAGGGGGTTTGGAACGGGTGGGAAGGCGAGCCGTGCCACGGGGGGGGAGGGGGTCTATTATTTCTTCCTTGTGTTACACTTTCCCCTCGTATACTGCCAGTGTAAATGGGGCATTCTTTTCTATATCGTTTGTCGGCAGCTAATTTTGATGTTGGCATAAATTTGGCTTATGCTATCTAGAGCTGGTTTGAGATATTTACCGGGTGATGTTCGGAGTGTTATTCTGTGGTACTATTGTCGGTATCTTATGTTATTGTTGTTTTTTACCTTTGTACGATATGCTAGATACATTTTGCGTAATACATTGTGTTTTTTGGGGGGTTTTTTTGACTTGATTTATTTTAAGATGTACTGTTTTATCTCTCTTATTATTTGACTTGAGCAGAAAATTGAATTGGTCAGACTATACCTTTTTTGGCAAAGACTTTCTCCTCTACCTAAACAAACTCAGGGCAACTGACTGGAGACTCTGTGAAAATTCCACCTAAACAAACTCAGGGCAACTGACTAGAGACTCTGTAAATCCCTTCTGTAAGGTCCATTATTTTTGCAGTAAGCCACCATGAGAATGACATCATACATCACGGAGAATAACTATCCTGAGGTCTCAACCTTTTTGATTTGGGAAGCACACAAATGCATCTTGAAAGACTCGGTGCTGATGAGACCTTATGATGGCCAAGTCCAGAGGTTTATGGACACGATATAACTTTGTATCCACACACTCATCTAACTGTGACCCACCACTACCGAAAGAGTTGACAGTCGAGGTGTGTGCTCCCTCAACTACGTAATCTTTTGTGTCACAGAGCACTCAAGAGCACTAGAACTTCCATATAACTGGAGATAAATATTGGAGGTTACTAGCACATATGATCTATAAAAAGCTAACCTTGACATATATTGCAATACTTCCCAGATAAGTATACAATTCTACTCTGATGTCTAATCACAGTCAATCTACCATTTCTCTCCAGTCACTGCAACTGGATGTATTAACAGATATCTAAAAACTTACTTGACTTTACTTTACATCTGACGCAGCCAATCTTTTTAAGAAAAAAACCATGAGATTAAGAATGTAGTGTTGTGGTTATGGTTCCTGGAGTGTTCATTTAACCATATTATAGACTTTCGTTCGTGACCTCCGTTTCTCATAAACCTTCTTTTAGAATATGTCACTTATTTTATGATTGAATGTGATATGGCAAGACTTCGTTTCGTTTAAAATGCTTCAATTAAATATTATTTCAAAATAAAATTAAAATGCTGTTATTGTGTTTACTCTGTTTCAAAATTTTTCAGAGAAACAGATGTGCCTATCGATGTTGAGACCATCAACCCCACTCCTATGCCATTATATGACAATCAGAAGGCACGAAGTGTGATGAACGAATGTGAGCGTCATGTAATCTTTGTGAGGACAGACACAGAAGCACCTCCACCGCCCGATGACTGGGAAGACCATGTCAACAGGTGAGTGCGCTATACAGGTGATGAAATGCCAAGCAAGCTAGGTTTCTAGTTAGATGTTGTGTCACTAATGAGAAGTGTAAATATATCTAAGGTGACTACCTTAGAAAAACACACAAATGTGGTATATTAATTATTTGTTTTTACAATATTTTATTAAAGGGATGCATGACCTTGTTCAACATATTTTTAAGGGTTCTATAAAAACAGTAGAAGAACAGGCAGGGAAAGGAATAGGACAGAGATGAGAAACAACCAAAGCTGAGGCATATTCAAAATGTAGAATCCGGGGAATCCAAGTATTGAGAACATGTTCATGTGAATCTTATTGCTCTTCATCACTTTAATGTGCTAGACTTTTTTTGCATGGTTGGTAGACCTAAGAGGTACCTTGCCAGGGTTGAGCAAGTCTCTCTTTCTAGCTGAGGTACAAATACTGGGGATATAACATGTTTGGAATTGGGATGCCTTTGACGGTGCACTGTAAGCTTGGGGTCATTTAAAATATCTGTGTGTAAGAAGTACTGAATGATCAGAAAATCTCCATCCACAATGTTTTTATAAATTGGTGACATTTCTGTTGCATTTTATATTCCAAGATAATTGAGCATACACATGCAAACACCAATTAAGGATGTTTTGCCCATACTTTTTTTTTTTTTCTTTTTTTTTTTAAGTAACTATTAGTTATGTTATTAGATTTACACAAAAGCTGTACAGGACCATCCTGGCATCAGATACAGATTACTACTAAATATGTTTAGATGTTTTTGCTTGATTGTGTTATGTAAGCATTAGAGCATTACAAAAAGAAAATGCCTGTGGTTCGTGTGGGAGTTATGAGAAAATGGCAGTTATTAGTCAGTAATGCAGGAAAACTGACATTTTTTTAAAAAGAAATTGATGCTTTTTAGCAAATAAAACCATTGCCTCTCCTTCTCCCTGTCTTTCAACTACCATATTCATCTACTTTACAACTTTAAAGGTATGTCCAGCTCCATTGCCTCACTTTTTTATTGTGTGTGTTTAGTAACGATTCTGACAGCATTGGCAAAATGTCTGTTTTATTCACTCTTTTAGCCCGAGTTTGTGATATTAGTAAAAGCATAGTAGTGGAGGCTTAAAGTTACACTCTAGACTCCAAAAGCACTTAGGTTTGCTGAAAATCTTTGTGTGAAGAGTGGCACATTTATAAATTAACCTTGTTGCATTCCCTGGATGTCAATCAGACATCCGGTTTTGTTAAAGGACCACTATAGGCACCCAGACCACTTCAGCCTAATGAAGTGGTCTGGGTGCCAGGAACAGCTAGGGTTAACCCTTTTTTTTTTTATAAACATAGCAGTTTCAGAGAAACTGCTATGTTTATAAATGGGTTAATCCAGCCTCTAGTGGCTGTCTCTTGACAGCCGCTAGAGGCGCTTGCGTGCTTCTCACTGTGAAAATCACAGTGAGAAGATGCCAGCGTTCATAGCAAAGCATTATAAATGCTTTCCTATGAGATTGGCTGAATGCACACAGCTCCTGCCGCGCATGCGCATTCAGCCGAAGCGGAGGAGGAGAGCTCCCCGCCCGACGCTGGAGAAAGAGGTAAGTTTAACCCCTTCCTCCCCCCTCAGCGCCACGGGAGTGGGACCCTGAGGGCGGGGGCACTATAGTGCCAGGAAAACGAGTATGTTTTCCTGGCACTATAGTGGTCCTTTAATTCTTGGTTTGTTTAGCTCAGTATAGCTAGACTCAAAAGGCAGAGCACCTGCCTTGCAAAGATTTCTTATTCAGCTGCATTGGGAAGTCTGTGATTGGACAACCACAGAAAGTCTTTATTGGGGAAAAAAAGAGGAGGGCTTGCAAAGGCTGCAGACAATGTGGGCATTTGCAATTTGTTTTTAGATATTCCCCAATGGAAAAAAAAAAATCAGTTAAGATTTCATAAGCTTTGGTCACAATAATTACGATTCGATATTATTCAGCATTAATAGGAATGGAAGTAAGTTATTTATACACGAGTGGTAGTACAACTTCATAGTATGGGTCTATTCACTTATGATGTAACTGTGGTTATTATGTGGGTTTTAAAGGGGTAAAGGAGGTGAAGCGATTTGGTAATAGTAAGATAATATATAAGAGGTAAAGCCGTTTTAGATCACAATAGACAGGGGGAGTCGGACCATGTGTGTGTGTGTGTGTGTGTATATATATATATATATATATATATCTATCAAGGAAATATGTAGATAGAATGGCTAAGGCAGGGGAAAGGAGAGGGAGGACTTGTACTATCATATTTAAGAGCTGGAGAGATATGTTGAACAGAACTAGAATAGCAATTTATTGTAATATGTTTTTTTTAAACCAACACGATCCAATATCCTAGACAAACTAACTGATCTATTGAAGGCTATAGTGTTAAATAAAGGTCGGATATTTGGAATACTGTTTGGTCTCTGATGAGGTCTGGAGAATTTTTTTTCTTTTCATTTATTTCTGCAATTATAGGTAGGTCCGGTTCAGGTAGATATAAGTACACAGGTCTCCTTATTTTGCTTCTTTCCTGGGATACTTTCCATATTTCATATTATATCTTGGAATTATAATGACTGAGGGAAGGGAGAGGAGAGGGAGATTAGTACTATTATAATGGATAGCTGCAAAATACATCAAGTAGTGTCAGATTAGTAATTTATTGGGTTATGGCTTTAGGAGCTAGTGTGGTCATATATTCTAGTCAAAGTTGACAGCATTGTGGATTGCCATTTGACCGATTTTGGGCTAGATATTTGGAATGCCATTTGGTTTCTGAAGAGTTTGGAGGCCTTCCTCCTCTCGCTAGGGTCTCTATTCCTGCAATTATAGGCAGGTCTTGTTCAGGGGGCTTCATATATATATGTATGTATGTGTGTGTGTATGTATATATATATATATATACATATATGTGTGTGTGTATATACGTCTCCCCACTGGATTACCAAGAGGCGGTTTGTTTCCCCTCTTGAATTATTTTTTGTTTTATGTACTTTATAATGTAAATGTGTATTCTTTTTTTTGTTTCTGTTTTTTCTTTTTTACTTTTCTGAGACTCGATTTGGGGTGTAATCAGGACAATAGGTGTTATGATGGCACTTAATGTGATATCATGGAATGTCCAGGGTTTGAATTCACCACAGAAAAGGGGAGCGGTCTATAAATTTCTAAATGGAAATGATATTGATATTGCTTTTATTCAGGAGACACACTGGATTAATCCCCCAGAGAGACTCTGGAAGTTTAAGAAATTCCCGTTGATATTTTCTTCTAATATGGAGGGGAATAAAAAAAAAGGCACTGCTATCATAATCTCTAGCAGAATTAATTTTGAAATGATACATCTAACTGGGGATCCAATGGGAAGATATGTGATACTCATCGCAAAAATTAATGGTATTATATATACTTTGGTTAATATTTATGCACCAAATTCGTGCCCAGGGGACTTTTTGGATAAAACTATGGAAAAGGTTGATGAATTAGCATGTGGTAACATCATAATTGGGGGAGACTTTAATTGTGTATTGGACCCAGCACGGGATAAAAGCCATAAAAATGTTAGAGATTATAAATCTGTAAATACCTATGTTTCTGATTTTTCTAAATTTCTAGATAGGAATTCTCTATTTGACTGTTGGAGGACTTTTAATCCTAGTGAGAGAGATTACACTTTTTTTTCACATGTCCATCAGACCTATTCTCGAATAGATATGTTTTTGGTGAAAGCTGGGTTTTTAAGTTCTATTATTAAATCCAATATTGGATCCATAGTTGTATCAGATCATGCACCAGTATTCATTAAGGTTAAGTTAAAAGGTGGTCTTAGACCAAGGACAAGGTGGAGACTTAACGAAAGCCTCTTGAAATCAGAGTGCAACATTGATTTTTTTGTCATCTGAAATTGAAAACTTTTTGATTACCAATGATAATGGGGAAGTTTCTACGGTAATGGTATGATGCACCCTTCAAAGCTATATAAGGGGATTATTGATTAAACTTGGCTCTGAATCTAAAAGGAAGAATCTCTGCAAGAGTTAAGAATAAAATTGGCAAATAAGGAACGTCTAAATAAAAATATGGTGAATAAAGACTTAATTGAAGAAATAGCTAAATTAAGGGAAACTGTCAAAGATATAATTTATGATATGGTCAATAAAAATATACTATTCCTTAAACAACGATGGTACCATAACAAAATAAATAAAGACCTTTCTAATAAAATTAAAAATAACCTCAAAGATAAATCTATAAAAAAAATTGTCTTAGGTGATAAACATTTAGTGTCACCAAATGATATTGTAAAGGCATTTGCGGAATTTTACAAATCCTTATATAACCTACAGGAGGTAGGGAAGAGTAGAGAAGAAATGGATACATTTTTGAGTAACCTTAAATTACCAAAAATTAACCAAAGGAAGTTGGAAATGCTGAATGCCCCATTCTTATTATCAGAAGTAACAGAAGCAATAGATAAGTTAAAATTGAATAAGGCTCCAGGCCCAGATGGCTTTTCAACAATGTTCTATAAAACTTTTTCTAGACTCATTTCCCCTATCCTTTTAGAGATGTTTACGAAGGCGTCCACTGATACCCCCTTCCCTAATGAGATGTTATTGGCTTCAATCATTCCTAAACCCAAAGTAGGGAAAGCCCCAACACTTATTACTAACTATAGACCTATATCTCTCATTAATTTAGATATAAAGATATTCTCTCAAATATTGTCCAATCGACTTAAAGAGGTAATTGGAGAACTGATTGACGTTGATCAGTCTGGATTTGTGCGAGGGAGAGGTACTACAGATAATACACGTAGGATATTTAACTTAATACATAGAATAAATGAGCATAAATGGGGATCTGTTATTATGGCCCTCGATGCTGAGAAGGCCTTTGTCAGAGTCAGTTGGAGATTCCTGGACTCTGTCATGGGCCAATTTGGCTTAGAGGGTCAGTTTAGACATAAAACTATGTTGTTATATAGGAGTTCTACAGCTAAAATAATTAACCCTTTTGTTGAGTCTGACCATTTTGAGGTCAAAAATGGTACTAGACAGGGTTGCCCTTTGGCTCCCCTGTTATATATTCTTACAATTGAACCTTTGGCCACCTTGATCAGACAGGATACTAATGTAAAGGGGGTCAAGTCTGTCAATGGGGAAACCAAGGTTTCCCTTTTCGCAGACGATGTCCTCCTTATCCTGACGGATCCGATGGTTTCAATTCCATCAGTATTGGATGCTATATCCATCTATAGTAGTTTCTCCAACTATAAGGTCAATATGAAAAAAAAACAAATTTTAGCCTCTTTTTTTACCTGAGGCTCAGAAAAATCTTCTGACTGCACATTTCCAACTCTTATGGGCAAAAGATACTATTGGCTATTTGGGGATTAAAATATCCTTTGATATAGAGAGGATGATACAAACAAACTATGATAAATTATTAAGAGATCTGCAACAACTGGTAGACAAATGGAGGAAGATTGAGTCCTCATGGATAGGAAGATTAAATATGATCAAGGCATTTCTGATACTATCTTAGGGCGATTCCTTATAGACTGGGGAAAGGTATTCTTAACAGTTTTCAAACTCTGATTTCCAAATGTATTTGGGCAAATAAACCACCTAGGATAGCTTTTGACACTCTTCGAAGGAGCTATCAGAAGGGTGGAATAGCATTTCCAGATGTTGATAAAATCCATGAAGCATATATGGCGACTCATCTTCTACAGTGGCTAGACAAGGAACAGGGATATAAATCATGGCTTACTCTAGAACAGGAGGATAGCCCTAGATATAAATTGTTCATTCTTTTTTGGATGGGTATGTTGAATTTGGGTGAACTGGATACCAAGTATTTTTCGAACCGTATATTGATAGATATGATCAATACCTCCAAAATCCTAAATAAAAAATTGAAGTTAGAAGATAAATTATTATATAGGGTTCCATTAGTGGTCCTACAACACATAATGGATAATATAAATGTTCAATCTTGGACACACCTAGGCCTAGTGAAGATCTCGGATTTATGGGATGGATTTAAACCCATCCCATTTATACAATTGCAAGAAAAGTATAATCTTTCCCCTAGAGATCTTTTTCAATATCTAAGGATTAAGAATTTTTTACTATCTCGGACTATACTTAAGGACCACAATGTTAATCCCCTTATTGTATTATATAAAAAGAAGGGAGGGATTTCTAGATTTATTAAATTGCTAGAATCAATGGAACAAGACTCTCATTCTACCTCTTTTGTTAAATGGGAACAAGATATTGGGGAATCCTTTCCACTTCTGGAATGGACCAAAGCTACACTCCTAGTTAAGCGCTGTATACATAGCATCTCTCTCTATGAAACACATTTAAAGATAATATATAGGTGGTATATGGTACCGGCTAGACTATATAAAATATCATCTGTACATTCTAAGAATTGTTGGAGATGTGGAAATGAGGAGGGCACTATTTATCATATATGGTGGGAGTGTCAGGGTCTTAATAATATAAAAATTCAAATGCTTGGCCTTATTAATTCTATTTTTAAGGAGATAAAGAGAAAAGGTTGAGGGCTAATTTCTTTTAACATTGGTTTCCCTTCGCAAGATAAATATAAAAAATATCTTTTGACCCATATATTTTTTGCCATTAACATATGTATAGCTAGGGCTTGGAAATCTTCTATCCCATTAATATGGCACAATATTATGGAGCAAATAGATTATCAGTACAGGATGGAATCAAACCCCTTTTTTGGCACTAGAGATGTGGCCAAACTATGGTTACCCTGGACAAATAGACAGAATATATGATAACAGATTGTGGTTCCCCCCCATATCGAGTCTCAGAGAATGTAATTTATTCGTATTATAATTTTTTTTTATTATTATTATTTTTTTTGTTTGTTTTTTTTTATTATTATTTTATTTATTTATTTATTTGTATGTTTATCAATGTGACAGCTATACCATGGAAATTTTGGGTGTGAATTCCTTCTGATAGCGATTGGCAGTGGACAAATGTAGCGTGATTGAAATATACATCGTGTGTACGATGGTTTTCAATGGAAACACTGTACTTTATGTTGAAACTTTCGGTGTTTAATTTTACACAGTGCCTATATTACAATATATTGCCAGCTCATCTATGCTTTTAGCACTTATATTGATGGGGGTTTTTTTCTGTTTGCTTGTTTAATTTTTGTTGTGTTTTTAACATTTATCTCTGTGTCTGGTTGTCTTAATGCGCTGGAGGATTGCCTTTGGGGTACCTCACATGAATATGTTAAAACTTTCATATAATAAAAATAAAGAAATATAAAAAAAAAAAGATTTCATAAGTTGTGTGTGCCATGTAATTGTACTCTTTAATACAATGCGTACCAATAATGCCACTTCAATGCCAGACACCAACATCTCTTATCTTCAGGTGTGGATAGAGTTCTTGCCAGAACAAATGACAGTTTAATTCCAGTTTGTGATAACTCGTTCTTCCAGGTCTGGATGGAGTCCTTCTCAGAACAAACTTTTCAACAAGATCCTGAAAGCTCTTCAATGTGATCGGCTTGCTCGACTTGCTAATGATGGGGTGAGTTTTTACATTTTAATAAAAATAACTAGTTAGTAGGTAAAACATATTCTTTTGTGTCATGCTTGGTTGACCAATTAATATTTGCTGTGGGTTTGTTTTTGTTTGTTTTTTTAATTAATTTATTTATTTTACAAATAACTGCAGTTTTAAGTCTCCGAGCAGGGACAATGGTTACAGATTAGCCTCTGCATCATAATATTTGCAGTGATGTAATTGTGGATGGACTAATCCTTTAAATGGACATTGTAGGCACCAAAACAACTTTAGCTTAATAAAGCAGTTTTGGTTTATAGATCATTCTCACTGCTTAATTCTCTGCCATTTAGAAGTCACTTTGTTTATATAATTCTAGTCACACGTCCATGCAAGTGACTCGCACATCCTTCCTAAACACTTCCTGAAAATTAACGTAGATATTCTAGGTTCCTGTATTGCACATTCTGTTTAATCTAGAATTTCTTAACTCCTGCTTTCGTAATGGCCTCCTAAGCCCTGCAGGATACTCCTGTGTGTGATTAAAGTTCAATTTACAGAGCAGGAGATAAAAACTTAAAGGGACTCTATAGTCACCAGCTGCATTAACAGAGTGATATAACTCCTAAATGGCAGAGAATCGAGCAGTGAGACTGCAGGGGCATGATTTATACAACCAAACTGCTTCACTAAGCTAAAGTTGTTTTGGTGACTATAGTGTCCCTTTAAATTAACATCTAATTGAAAATCAAACTATTTTTTTCATGCAGTCTGTGAGTCACAGCCAGGGGAGGTGTGGTTCGGGCTGCATACACAGAAACAAAAGTGATTTAACTCTTAAATGGTAGACAGTTGATCAGTGAGACTGCAGGGGTATATAATATATACACTACAACTGCTACAGTTTTTTTTATGCATATAAAGAAAAATCTACCTTTAATGTCTTTTTATTTTATACGGTTTCTTGTAATCGGGACTGCGCTATTTTTAATATTTTGAGACAAGCCAGGTGTGACACAATAAAACTTCTAACCATTTTCAAGAAAAGCATGAAATTCTAAAAAATACATTAATGAACACATTGCTTACAGTGTCATGTTTATTTAACTGATTATTGCTTTGTCTCATGAGGCCTCCAATGAACCAGTGTTACGAAGGATTGCAGTGGATAAGTGTGCACGACGTGTACGCCAGGCTCTTGCTTCAGTGAGCTGGGACACAAAGCTGGTCCAATGGTTACATGGAACTTTAGTGGAGACACTCAGTCTTCCATTGCTTGCTGCATATTTGGATGCTTTGCAGACTCTTAAAGGAAAGGTAATGCTGTTCATGTTATAAGACGTACTTGCAAATCCGTTTTGCAGACATCAATTCAAGAGTTCAATAACAAGCTCTCTCTGATCCTTCAAAAAAGACACTTTGCAGTGTATGTCCCTGGTTTATATTTGTGCATATTTGATGTTTGATTATGAGAACAGAAAATAAAGAATAAATAGCACCTGGACTAAAATACTATATATTGCATTTATATTTTTCCTTTTTTTATTTGGAAATGCATTTGACAGATGAACATATGAAGAGTATCAGAGCGATGACTTCTTAAATGTAAACTATCCTTTCAGATCCCAGGTCTTATAGACCGAATGTTGCTCACCTCCACCGTCAGAGCAGGAGGAGCAAGTGCAGAAGCCCTTTCCTTGCTCCTCAAGAGGCCATGGGACCCAGCAGTTGGAGTCTTATCACATAACAAACCGGTAAGAAGAGTTCTGCATAGACTTATATAGCAAACTGATCAGTTGATTTGTTTTAGTGGTACATAGTGTGGTCCATTCTATCTCCCTTTATCTAGAACAAGCTTCCTGGCTCACCCCTTATCCTCATTGCTCCCTCTGGACCAACCAGCTCTGTATTCCCTACATCAAGAAGGCACCGATTTTGGCAGTCTCAGCTCTCCTGTTTGGCCAAGGTATGTGACATTCATTTACTATATATGAAAATAATTATTTTTGGTAATGTTTGTTGGAATATATACTCTCTACAATACTTTGGTATTTTTTAAATCGAAATGTCTGAAAATGGTATCTACAGTCAGACATTCTGTTGGGATGCTGGAGAGTATTCTAGCACACCTTGCAATATAGTCAGTTTGGAAAAAAGGAAATAGGCCACAACAAATCATCCTCTTTAGTTTTCACATTGACTATAGACTCCTTATCCCAAGTAGTCATACTTTTTTTTCTATTTTTTTTTTTTTTCTAAATCAGAGTTTTATTTGTTTAAGCAGTTTTTATACATCCGTGAGATTCGCAGATCCCCAGAAAAAAAAAATATATATATATATTTTTTGTAATTCAATAACAAGTAAAAAGTCTAGTCAAAAGTTAAACACAGGTGATATACATTGTTATCTGAGCTCGCAGGCGCCCAATGTTGATGGACACACAGGTCCCTTGTGGTGCTCCCTCTATTAAGTGTGTAGAATATGTTACAAGGATCAAGAGGGGATGGGAGGGTTAGTAGTAAGAATGCATATGTGTATTTTCAATTTTCAGCTTCATTCCTACATCAATAGACATATTCACAAATACCGGACACTTCGCATGAGTCGTAGTGTGTAATGAGGTCGGTGTTGGAGTTGTCACTACAGACTAGTTCTGTAGGCTTATGCATAGCGCATGTGGCTTCCGGGATTCATCCGATTGGTGTTTTTGTTCTGGGTTCGCCGCTAGAGCTGGCTTCATGTTCCCCAACTGGTTACTTGTGCGCTTAGTGCTACTCTTTTTGTGTCCGTTAAAAAAACAAAGCTTGGGCTGTCCGTTCGTGATTATGGTCTGTGTGTCTTGTTGCGTTCCGTAACGTAAGTGTCAGGGCATGTTTTATGTTTAATCCTGCACAACAGGGGTGCTGTCTGCATCAGGCCCTCATCCCTAGTTTCTCCTCTAGTCTTTATCAGGCGAGTTCGCTTTCGCTTAGTATGTAGAGGTATTCTGATCAGTGCGGCGAGCTAGGTGGGTGCAGTCCCCCGCCTAGCGCACAGTTGAATGTTATCGGGATCAGGGGTCTCGGTTGGGGCGATATATGCTGGTTCCTTCTCATGGTTGTCCACGACTTCAGCGTCTACACGATGGGTGATTCGCTGCCTAGCTTTCATGCGGCGTCGGCTGTGCCCTGCCATATGTACGTGTGGAGGGCCTTGTTCGTGCTTTCCCTATCCAGGGCTGCCCATAGTTTGTTAGCCGGTGCCGCATGCCATTCACGGATCCTCTGGAGCACCGTTGCTTGGTAGTATTTACGGAAGTCTGGCAGTGCTAGGCCTCCCCACGCTTTGGGGAGACATATCTTGTCGTGGTTGAGGCAGTGAGTGCTCCATTAACCCGTACCCTTGCACTGGGATCAGTGTACAACGCCTCGATCCAGGTGATCATTCCCCTTCCCAGGCCAATCCTGTTTAGCGTTGCCATCATGAAGCTCCACGTTACCCGGTCAAATGTTTTTTCTGCGTCTGTGGAAAGCATTATGAGGTCAGTTTTCTCTTTGAGGGCCAGACCTTGTATGGCGAACGCCCTTAAGGTGCTGTCCCTGGCTTCCCGGTCTGGTATGAAACCTGTTTGTCTTTTTTTCTATTCTTAAAGGACCACTTTAGGCACCCAGACCACTTCAGCTTAATGAAGTGGTCTGGGTGCCAGGTCCCTCTAGGATTAACCCTAGGATTAACCCTTTTTTTTTTATAAACATAGCAGTTTCAGAGAAACTGCTATGTTTATAAATGGGTTAATCAAGCCTCTAAAGCCTCTAGTGGCTGTCTCATTGACAGCCGCTAGAGGCGTTTGCGTGCTTCTCACTGTGAAAATCATTAATGCTTTCCTATGAGACTGGCTGAATGCGCCCGCAGCTCCTGCCGCGCATGTGCATTCAGCCGAAGAGGAGGATCGGAGGCGGAGAGGAGGAGGAGAGCTCCCTGCCCGGCGCTGGAAAAAAGGTAAGTTTAACCCCTCCTTGCTATCCACACCGGCGGGAGGGGGTCCCTGAGGGTGGGGGCACCCTCAGGGCACTATAGTGCCAGGAAAACGAGTATGTTTTCCTGGCACTATAGTGGTCCTTTAACTTGTAACATCATCTAAAAAATCGTAAGTAGGCGGTTTTAGGTTGGGGCACTTTTTATTTGTTCTCTTTCTCACCCGTGTACCACATGGTTCTCAGTTTGAGTGTGATATTTCACATAAATATGTGTATCCTTATTGTAACCTGCCAATTCTTTCACTATTTTTAATCCAAAAGGTCATTCCAGTTGGCACTCAGTTGCTGAATAGTGGCAGTGGGGTGTCTTCATTGCAGTGCCTGGAAAACATGATTAGTGCATTGCGGGGAAAAGTCCTTGAGGTATTTCTTCCACAGAGTTATATTTTAACCGCAAATCATTACGTAGACTTATTCCAGTTTGTGAATTCTTATATTTTCCCTATTTGTTTGCTTCTTCAGATTCACAGTCACTTCCCACACAAACCAGTTATCCTCATTGGGTGGAATACAGGGGCATTGGTTGCCTGCCATGTAAGTGCCTAAACAATTATTGCATATCATATTGAACTATATTAACAAACTTGCTGAGCCTGGCATCAGTATTTAAATAGCAATCAATGTTTGCATACTGAAGGAGATTCATAGTACTAGCCCTAAATGCTTTCATGCAGCTTTCAGCTACCCATCCCTAGGCCAAAAATGGAAAGGTATGTCAGAGTTCTGGGCATACTTCTATATGTCCTGGATTGTTCCTGGTCTAGTCTGCATCAGGACTGTACCTGATCCCTTATTCAATGTGCTTGAGATGCTGGCCAGTGTTTATCTGCATTGTCTGCTTGTCTCCCCCCGTCTGCTCTTCTAAACAAACATATGACATTATAAAGTATATAATACTTTCACCCTGTTGTTTTGATACTAGTTAGTGTGATGAGACACAGCATAAAACATTTATAATTAATGCTACCTCTCTGTTAATATCTGTCAGGTGTCTTTGATGGAATATGTGACTGCAGTTGTCTGCCTTGGATTTCCTTTGCTCACTATGGACGGACCACGAGGAGTGAGTTATATGACAATCTCTTTGCCTAATCTGCTTTAAGTGCCCATTGGGTACCGTGCCTACACATACATTCTTGTCTAGTAAAGTAATAATCTGAAAGCCATAATACATTTTATTAGGCAGTGATAGTAGTTTCAAATTTTCATAATTTAATGGTTCCATAAATGTTGTTTATTTGCTGGTCAATTTGTTTGCCTTTAGTCCTTGCATACATTTGAAAGTGGTTTAATCTGGGACATATTTCAATAATTTGCAAAATAAGTTTCTAATTTAGTAAAATTGTTCTTCATGGGAAGGGTGTTAGAATTCCAATATAAGTGATAGCAGGGGACAATGGTTGAACCTCCTCCATAATACGACAGGAATCACTAATGCTGCCCTAATACTCTTTGCTATTATTATTTTTACCGCATGTGTGAAGACTGTGTTGTCATTTTCGGGGAACCTCCCCCACCCCCATTCCCGACTTTCAAACAGACAACCTGTCCTGTCACTCCCTGGTTTGTTTAGCTCAGTGATGCTAAACTCAAGAGGTAGTCGATTGCCAATAGCACCTGCTTCCTTATAATGATTTCCCATTGAGCTGTCTATATCTAATTTATATTTTTTTTATATTTGGGGGGGGGGGTTGGAGATTTCCTGTAATAGTTTGCCTTGCTGGGGTGTTTGTCTTGTGCAGCTACTATGTATTATAGGATATTTCTGTGCATTGTAGTGTTATTGGAAAGAGTAGATACAGGTCTATTTCTGCCATCTAGTAAGAAATGCTGCTGTTCAATGTAGTTTTCAGATGAGTAATATCAATGACACCTACCGGATTCTCCCCTTTGCATGAGTGATTTAGAGAAGGATTCTGCATTTTGCTAGACATTTTTACAGCAGTTAAGAAGGTGGAGGCCACGGATTTTGGGGGTGATTAACAGTGTCCATCCTGATAAACTTTTGTAGACCCTGGGGTGGTTAAAGGCACACGCCAAGTAGTTAGGTGGAAGGTCGTGTTTGCAGTCACGGCTAGAACATTTTCAGCTCTCCTAGTGTTTTCTTTGGGACGGTGTACCTTAGTGTACATAAGCAAGTAGATTTTCTCATGTCATCTCATCATTTGGAGTAAGGAAAGATGAATGAGAAAACTTCAAGTGAACTGAAGCACCTTTTGGTTTCCACACACTTGTGAGAATGCATCCAAAGAGATGTATGGTAAAGGCACACAACCCTTCCATTCAAAACAGCACGGAACTTGATTTTCACAGTCGTTTCATAAATTGTCTGTAAGACATAAAATGTACATTTGTAAATCTACACTGAAGTGTCTCTTTGTTTGTCCACATAAAACTCTTACTAATTGGAGAATGGTTGTAGGACCATTTGAACATAAATAATTACTTGATTTAAGGTTCATTGTTTTTCTTGACTTCAATTTTGTCCTGTTTAGGATGTGGATGATCCTCTACTTGATATGAAGACTCCAGTACTCTTTGTGATTGGCCAGAATTCCCTTCTGTGCCATCCTGAAGCAATGGAAGATTTTCGAGAGAAGCTCAGAGCTGATAACAGTCTTGTTATTGTGGGAGGGGCTGATGATAACTTGCGGTAAGGATGAGTTGAGGTTTACCATGTCTTTTTAATTTCCATGCTACAGCTTTCTGCAACCATTCATGCAAAATGTCTCCGTTGTGTTTCCTGACAGTTCTTTTTTCTGTAAGTAACTGTAAATGTGTTAACAGGAGTATTTTATAGACGTAGAGGGGTGATGTTTGGGAGGGGGCAAGGATGGTGTTTTTGTGGGAGGAGGCCAAAAATTTTGGTTTGACATCAAGCCCTTAATATTTTTTTTTTACCCTTGCTGGACCCCTGATGGAAGGTATTATGAATAGTGAAGAGGGTTTATTTTGGTAATAATACAGCTTTTAAATTATGTCTGTGATCTTTCCTTTATGCAGTATTTATCACAAATATTCATTACATGATGTTCTAAAATCAAGGATTCTTTCTGTAATGCAAGTTTGTTTATATATTTATTGTACATATTCACTGTGTATAATACATTGCAGGGTAAATATGTTTGCTCATTTTGCCTCTTAAAACTCTTAAGTATTACTTGTAATAGCATGGCTACAGGTTGAGGAGAAAAGCTAGCCTAAAAGAATAAATGACTTGCTGAGCATCGTGAATATTTTTCTCTGCAACAGTTGGTATGCCAAAGCATTTACATTGCTTACATTCCCAGATTATGAATTTGACAATCTTAGGGTTTGGTTTTTGTATGTAAAAAGAAATGTATGGAAATGCACACCTGGAGCGTGAAGGAGATTTTTTATTTCTTCTTTTAAAAAACATTTCTGTCTAAAGGGTTATTTCAAGAACATGACCATTTCATTGATTTGAAGTGGTCATTGTGCTTGGAGCCTGTATATGCAGAGAAAATGCTCTATGGTTCCAAAGGTCTACATCCACTTCTGGCAGCTTCATTAGCAAGCAGGAACAAGAATTCATGGCTGGCTAATGTTGATTCTGTGCATAACTGATGTATGTCGTCTGCATGCTTGTGGCAGACTACCAATGGCAGACGTCTCTCCTCCCCCTGTACCACCCAAGCTTTCCCATCAGCCTGTCCATTGGAACATCCCTTCCTCACCAATGAGGAGTAATGATGTCACTAGAGGTGGATATGGTTACTTGGAGAACTCAGGGCCGAGGTAAGTTTTTATTAAAAAAACAACAGTTTTTGGTTGGAGCAGCCAGTTAATCAGGTTTAATTACCTGTTGACCTTTCTGTCATTAGAAATATATATTGCTCTGAACAGGTATATAGTGACAGAATGGTTTGTGTTGAAGTATGGGTAGACATTTGTGGGGGGGGTTTTAGAATAGTATAATCAAGAATTATACACATTATTATAATCAAGGTGGTAAGGCAAAGATAAGTGTACTATTTCTGTTTCACATTCCAGGATAAGCAAAATAAAGAAGAAGACAGAGAGCTTGACACAGAGTATGGTAGACCGATGTATCCAGGTGAGATGTGCAAGCATAGTTCCCTGCATTATGAAATAGGTTTATACTGTACTAGGTTAGCCTTGTGGAACAAATTGTGTCTCTTGGTCTGATGCTGAATTACAATTCCCATTATGCTCACTCAGCCTAGGGCTCCCTGAGTGTTATAGGAATTGTAGCTCATGGAGATATATAGTATTACATTTTACAAAGCCCCTGGTAGCCATGATATCTTTAATATAGTTTTCATGACTATGACAATCATGTCTTGCAAAGTCATAAAAAAGCTCTACTGCATTATAATTCACACAACCTGGAAATAAGGATCCTCTTTCATTACAATGTGCTGCAGTTAGAGCTTTATTAACCAAATCAATAATTGCAAGGGAATTGCAGGTTATTATTTCACAATTCCATTCTCATGTCTCCTCATTTTTTGGTTTAGCAAATGTAACCCACGTGTGGAGGAATTGTATTTCCCACTGTGGATTCTGACTGGTAAATGATTGAATGATTAAAGTATTTATCATACAAGACAATTCTAAATGTTAATAAAATTTGAATTCTCAGACACTCAAGCTATATAAGTGGTCATTCATGAGTAAATTTGATTTGTAAGCCATAGATGAATGGAGAATATTGCAGTCCTAATTACTGAAGGAGTGGGAAATGTATTTTCCTCTGTTTTCCATAAGAGCTAAAGGTGACTTGTAACTGCAGGTATATTCCTGTTATAATGTTTGCGGTTTTAATTATTGCTTTTGCATTTATCATCTTTGCTTTTCCATTAACATTACAAGAATTTGATTTTAGGATGAGATTGCTGATTTTTTGACTGGGGTCTTGACCCGATCTGAAGGTCACACTGGCTCGGACCCCAGAGACCTTGATGCTGAAAAAAAGAAAAAGTCCCGTGAATTCTTACGGAGAGACCTTTCTCTGGACTTGTCAGAGAGGAACAGCAGACCTGCATCCCCAGCAGCAAGATTCCCTGCTTCCCCTTCTGGATCTGAGGTGAGGAGAGAGCAGATAATAAAGGTCAATCTCTGAAAAAAACATTGCTGATGTAAACAATCCTCTTACTCCATCTTTATTTAAAAAATTTTTTTTAAATAGTTCTGTTGACTTGACTATGCAGTTTGTTCTACTCAGCATGGTGGATATGGTTTGAATCACCATATGTCTAAATATAGTGGGGGGGGGAAAGAGAACAAATTGTCCATTTGGATGCAATGACCGATCCTAATAGGTATTTTTACAGTCTGGCATAATAAAAAATCCCATGATTCCTTGCCTGCAGTCTGTGATCATGAGAATGAAATATGGTAGTGCTATAAAAATTAGTCGTATCCACATTTTAAATGAGTACTTCGAGCACCATAACCACTTAGCATCAGCTGATTGCTCTTTTAGACAATGAGGTACATCCTGCATTGCAGGAAACTAATACATTTCGTGATCTCTCTTAAGCCCAATACCTTTATTTTTAAATCCTTAAAGGATCACTATAGTGCCAGGAAAACATACTTGTTTTCCTGGCACTATAGTGCCCTGAGGGTGCCCCCACCCTCAGGGACCCCCTCCCGCCCGGCTCTGGAAAGGGGAAAAGGGGTAAAACTTACCTTTTTCCAGCACTGGGCGGGGAGCTCTCTGCCTCCGATCCTCCCCGTCGGCTGCGCGCACATTCAGCCGGTCGCATAGGAAAGCATTATCAATGCTTTTCTATGGACGCTTGCGTGCTCTCACTGTGATTTGGGGGAAGGCTTAACCCTGTTATAAACATAACCGTTTCTCTGAAACTGCTATGTTTATAAAAAAAATGGGTTTACCCTAGCTGGACCTGGCACCCAGACCATTTCATTAAGCTGAAGTGTTCTGTGTACCTAGAGTGGTCCTTTAACACTTTTTGAAAGGATTTTCATAAACCTCTCTCCACCACAACATCTTTTACCTAGGATTTACATAGCTCTTGGCACTGATACAGCCATTTCTCCCCGGTTATGTTAGCCAAACTTTGGTCTCAGTCCACACCGCTCATGGTACAGTGTGAAGTGATCCGCTGGGTCGTGGTTCAAACGTGATGTCGTTCCTGGGGTTGCATACCACCATATATGGGCTCCTCTTTGGCGTAGCCATTGAGTTAGGCAGTCCCAGGGTGGCAAGGAGGGGAGATGCTCCCTCAACGAAGTTTACAACATGGGTAGTTCCATCATGGATTACCTCTAGAGTCCCGTTAGCACCCCACACCTGTAGGCTATTCCTGCTGATCGTAGATGTGCGGTGAGCGGTCTGTAAGATTTGCGCCACAGGAGGGTGGCTTTCGATAGATCTTGGAAGAACGTTAATGAGGAGTTCTCGAATATCAATGGTGTCTTGCCTTTCAAACCCACCATTGTTGTTTTTGTTTTGTTTTTGATTGGTCAACAATAACAGGTGTTAGCATTAAATGAAAAGCCAGGAAGGACTGTTCTTTTCTTTTTTTGAGAAAAAAGAGGTATTACCAAGCTTAGCAAGATAATTACCCCAGGAGGTCCCATAGTAAGAAGAGTAAATGAGGCATCTGAGCAAGAAATAACAGGCATAACTAAACGTGGGAAAGTACCATAGTTAGAAGGTGCCTGATGTGGCAGTTCTTCGACCGATACCGCCATGGGGATGCCCCGGATTTTTATGTGCGAGCGGCATTGCCGGTCTCACATGGCTGTCATTTTGAGTGACAGATACGTTTGTTGTTGCTGGATACGTTTGTTGTTACTGGATATTTACCTGAATATTGCCTTCCTGCAGACTTCCTCCACACATCTCTTGGAGACACTCTACCCACAAATAACCCAATGAACATCCTACAATTCACATTAGGAGGTGTGGAATGTGACTCTTCTGTTATGCCAGCATCACTATGACTAACACAAAGAATAGATGACATGTCATGCTCATTAAAGTGACTGTAAGAGATATTAAGCATTAAAAGTCCAATTTTACTACATAACTATAGTATCAACTATATGACTATCTTTTCTCTTTTTAATTTAGGATCTATCTAGCAGTCCAGCTTCCAGTCCAAAGACCAAATTAACTACCATCCCCACCCCTCATAAACCAGGACAGACCACAGTGCCTCTGAAAGCTCAGCTGCAAAGACCAGGAACACCAGTGAACCCCAAACAATCACAAGGTTAGAGGCGTTGTACCAGGGAAATCTATCAGGCTGTTGCAGCCCTCCTAAATACATTTGTATAATTCATTCTGTCATTTGGCAAGCTCTCTAATAGGATCATGAATTGACTGCAGCCACATAGGGTAACATAAAGTTAAAACTGCTTAAATTTCAGCATTTGCTCACAGTCAAACCAATAATTCTCAAACAATTATTGTTAAGATTGTGTATATAAAAGAGTCACTTAAAATGCACACATGAGAGCTAGACTGAATGTGTATGTGTGTGTATATATATATAGATATAGATATATCTTCAAATGGAGAGTACATACAAGTATTTATCTTGAATATAGTTCTTTATTGAAGTAGACTGCAAAATTACAAGAGCAATGTTTCAGTCCCACAATGGACTTTTATCAAGATGCTGAATACAAATGCATAGTGTCCTTAAGTAGGACACTAACTGCTGAAAATACATGTGTACAAGACGGGGGTTGGTGTGAGGGAAACCAATAACAAGGGTATAGATTGCTTAACGACCAAGCCCATGAGAAGGGTTATGGTGAATTAAACATATACTGTATTCGAAAGGCCTATCTAAAGACACCATGCACTTGCATTCTGCATCTTGATAAAATATCCCTTGCCTGGATGCTTAAACTGTGGCCAAACAATGTAAAAAATCAAATGAAGAGAGTACTCACGGGTCTTTATCATAAATATAATGTTGCTTTATTGAAGCAGACTCCGTGCAAAATTACAAGAGCAACATTTCAGTCCCACAATGCACTTTTCTCAAGATGCAAAAGGTTTCGGTGTTTAAAAAAAAAAAAAAAAATGCTGTAAACTAAAATGCTGGCTAGGCCACTCCAGGACCTTAATGTGCTTCTTCTTGAGCCACTCCTTTGTTGCCTTTGCTGTGTGTTTTGGGTCATTGTCATGCTGTAATACCAATCCACGACCCGTTTTCCAGGGAAGGAGGTTCTCACCCAAGATTTGACGGTACATGGGCCCCTTCCATTTGATGCGGTGCAGTTGTCCTGTCCCCTTAACAGAAAAACACCCCCAAAGCATAATGTTTCCACTTCGATGTTTGACGGTGGGGATGTTCTTGGGGTCATAGGCAACATTCCTCCTCCTCCAAACACAGCAGTTGAGTTGATGCCAAAGAGCTTGATTTTGGGCTCATCTGACCACAACACTTTAACCCAGTTCTCATCTGAATCATTCAGATGTTAATTGGCAAACTTCAGACCGGCCTGTACATGTGCCTTCTTGAGCAGTGGAACCTTGCGGGCGTTGCAGGATTTCAGTCCTTCACGGCATAGTGTGTTACCAATTGTTTTGCTTTGTGAATATGATTCCAGTTGCCTTAAGATCATTAACAAGATCCTAATCTCAGCTCTTTACCTGTATAAAACATATCTGGGAGGCAGAAATCTTGCTGATTGATAGGGGATCAAATATTTATTTAACTCATTGACATGCAAATGAATTTATAACTTTTTCGACATGCATTTTTCTGGATTTAGTTTTTGTTATTTTGTCTCTCACAGTTAAAATACACCTACCATTAAAATTATAGACTGATCATTTCTTTGTCAATGGGCAAACATTCAAAATCAGAAGGGGATCAAATACTTTTTTCCCTCACTGTATGTAATCATTTTTATGAGACAAAAATTGTATTTATGTGTGTATGCATATATTTCAGATCATGAAGAAAAAACAAGAATACCTCCTAATATTAAATAAATATATCAAATTTGGCACGTTTACTTTTAATTGCTTGCGTATTCCTCAAGCAATATATACATAAAATTGATGTTATATCCTTCATTTGTGTGCTAGATGCATGACATTGTTAATTGAAATGTTTTTTACTATGTATTTGGTAGTGAAGAGGTGAAAATCACACGTCACATTATTTTTCTTGCATTGTAAATAATCAAGAGATATAGCAAAACATAAATCATATTACAGAATAAAACTGATCTGCATCATGCACTCAGTTTTTTAGTTTAACACTCTTATTTTATTTGTAATGTCCTTTAACGTTTGCACCTTAAAAAATGTTTTTACTTTTTTTTTTTTTTTTATGTTTTCACGAATGCACAGGAAAGTTTTGTTTACATGCAGAATAATAAAATAAACTACTTGGTGTATTTATGTAAAGGTCTTCACTGAGATATTAGGTTGTCGAGAAAAGTTTACAAACATACTTGTGAAAGAAAATAAATTAAACAGTTCAATAATCTGTAATGATGTGTTTAGGGTGGAAATTCTTAAAATTTCCTGTTTGACTGTTTTTCCGCAATCAAAATTTGGTGTTTGGCCAGTCTTGCAATCAGATAAGATCTTCCTGTTTCCATATGGCTGAGTCCAATTCACATCTGTGTGAATCTTATTCTTCTTTTTTTTTTCAGCCCAGTTTGCTGCTTTCCTGAAGCAAAACATGCTAGTGAGAAAGTCTCTAACTACAGGATCACCCTCTTGTGTTTTTGGTGAGTATTTCATTTAGTATACCACTCAGTTTTTTCATGCATAGCAGTAAAATCCATTTGGTGCAAACACAAATGGGACACTCTAGGTAGCAAACATTCATAAATATGTCTGCATGAGAGATCATCATTACAAATTCTCCTGATTTGTTTTGCATGTTTTTGGGTTTTTTGGCAGAGAAAAAACATGCAGTAATCTCATACACAATTCCTTCACTCAGTTTTTTTTAAATTCCAAGACATAAAATTAATAGAGTGGAAGAAAATAATATTTGCTGACATTTAAGAAACACATGACTGTGTTTATGCAGCCCTACGCATGTTTCCCTTGACTGGTACACACTGTATTTGTGAATGTTTTTAAATCTGCAACACACCCTCAATAAAAAAAAGTTTTCATTTTTGCAGCACAGTGACTTTACTTTAGAAGTTCTTATTTCCTTATCTGTTGAACCTAATCACACACGAGGGGCTGCTTTGGGGTCTAGTAGACAATTAACAGAGCAGGAGATAAGAAATTCCAAATTAAACACATTGTGCAATAAGGGACGTAAAAACAAAATTAAATTTCTTATAAGAAAGTGCGACTGTGTAAGTTTGTCAGGAGATGTGTGGCTAGGATTATATAAACAAAGGGATTTAACAGATTATACACCAACACCACTTCATTAAGCTAAATCTTTATAGGTGCGTAGTGTCCTTTTGCAGATTTAAACATTTTATCTAGTGATTTATGACTAACAGTGAATGTTGATGCTGTAACCTGCACATTTAATGTAAGAAATTCTTCAAAAGGTATGATATACAGCTGCTTAACCCATATTTTATATTGAAGTCATATTCCAGATTAGGGTTAATCCATCTAAAGTGGTCCAGCATAGATTACTTGACCGTTTTTAATTTCCATAATTTATTTTGAATAATTACCTCAATGTATTGGTATTGCAATATCACAGGTTTTTATTTTTATTTTACTTGGTTTAAGCATGGCAGCCATCTGTGTCATGTTGCACATCACATTTTTGGTTATGCTGATGTCTGTGGAAATATAGCTTTTAATAGTATAGTTAAAATGTAAATAGTGTATATGCTATAAATTTGAAAGAAAAAATAAACTGAAATATATTAACAATGAACCCTAAAAGTTAAAATCCTAAAGGGAAAACCAACTCACGCTAGGTGTAACTATAATCAAAAAGAAGTCCTGTTCAAAAGTTTTCAGGATCCTTCTCCTAATAATATGCAAAAAAACTGCGGTTTTTACAATAGAATAAAGTATACAGGGTGAGTTGTGTCCCAAAAATGCAAAATAACTGTATATAACAATGATTAAATCGCAAAAGTTATGTGACGATAGCACAGGGATACCTGTATCAAATATAAATGTAACAGTATCTTGCCAAAACAAAAAAGGAGAAACCTTTAGTTACATTTGACAGTGTATAGTATTCACTGTCCCTGTGCATCCAAAAACAATGCACTAAGGCTCTTAGTCAGCACTATTTACATACATATATTTTTTCTGAGTCTTTTTGGATGCACAGGGACAGTGAATACTATACACTGTCAAATGTAACTAAAGGTTTCTCCTTTTTTGTTTTGGCAAGATACTGTTACATTTATATTTGATACAGGTATCCCTGTGCTATCTTCACATAACTTTTGCGATTTAATCATTGTTATATACAGTTATTTTGCATTTTAACTTGATAGGGAAGTATTAAATCTAAAATATTCTGAATTCCCATTATACTTACCTAGGTATAGCCTAAACCAGAAAATAGGACTGAGATTCAAACCTGTACCATTATAAATTCCACCTAAAACTGGAACTTGCAGTGATCTTGACCATTACTTTAGGACTTAAGTTCTAAGTCAAAGAAACAAGAATGCACTGCAACACAACGATGGTTGCCATTGTTAAACCAAGTAAGATAAGAACTGATAATATTACGATACCAATATAAAGAGGTAATCTCTCAACAACAAAAAAAAATAGAAACTTAAAATGGTCAAGTTAACAACCTTACAATTATTAGACCACGTGAGACTGAATGACCTGTGATAATTTAAGACTGCAAGTTGCAGATTTACAGCTCTGGTTCTCATAATACCATGCTTAGTTTTTTTTTACTCAAAAGTAAAGAACATTGACAGTGCTCACTGAACTGATTTGGAGCTACCACACTAATAATTTACTTAGCTTACAAAGTGACAGGATTTAATGGATTAATACAGTTTTTAACACAACTCTCTCTGGTTATTGTTCAGTTCCTGTCTCATCAGAATCATCAGAGGCCAGTGAGAAGGATGACAGCAGAGGACAACTTAAAAGACCTCCCAGTCCAGGAAGTACTGCTGGTTTAAAACCTTCTAAGCGTGCCAAAATTAAAGTGACTATAGTTTCCCATGGGGATGCAGCAGGAGGGGGAACCTCAACCTCACAGGATGGTTAGTTGTTACTTTGTTTTTATTGGCAGTATATTCGTTGCACATTGCATTGTGTTTTGTGCTGTAAAGTGAAAATATTCATTCATATTATTTTGGACAACCTTGTTTCACTCATTGTTCACGTAAACATGTCATCCACGATTTTGAGAATGGCAAGTTCGTGTACAAGTGGGCATAGATTTAAAGATAACATGCTAAGTATGCCGTAACTTTGTTAAAGTGCACTGAAGCTCTTGTGCCATCATAGCATTGGGAGGCTGTATGTCTGAAGGCTCACTGTCTTGGTCCTCCGTATTAGTGTATTTACTCCTGTACGGATGTCATAAGTGTAAAGTCTATGTCTGGGAAAAAATATTTATTTTCTGAAATACCATATCACTATACATTTGCTAGGAGTTTGTCATGCACAATGGTTCTTTATAAAGTAACACTATGTCAAGTTTGAAATGACTGATGCACTTTAAAATATATAAAGTATTCTTTATATATTACTGGTGTACTTGTTGGACTTGGAGATCAAATGTTTAAACTTTAATGCTTGATGATGTAGGGCACACATTGCACAATATTTTACTTAAACACATAGTTTGGCTAAATGACATTTCCTACTTTTCAAAGTGTGGCACTGTTATCTATGTATGGCAGGTGCACATTACGGAATGTGATAACATAATATGTCCAATAATGCTTTCCCTTATTATTGGTCATGCGGTTAAGTTATGTGGAAATATCAAAATCTGTGAATATGAGGAGCATCATACAGGAAAACCACTCTCTTATACTTATTAAATACTGTTTAATGGTAAAGTCTCAATTTAAACTATCTATAAATTAATTTAGATTTTTAGCAACGATTAACAAAAAATATTTATTTTAAAAAACTGTCTTATCACTTTAATGACACTGTGTATGTAGTTAGTAAAAAGCAAGCTTAAGTGCTTTACGGGTCTGCAGTGTCCATTTAAGGCAGCTGGGGTCTTTTTTTTTTTTTTTCCATTCTATACACTCCGTGATCAGTGTGTACTTGGTGGAAGCCTTATCATTGATGCTCTTCAGAGGTATATTACTGGCTTCCTCATGCAACCAATAGCAGTCATGTAAGCATAATGACATCTAGTCACAATGCCTGGCCATGCATTTACAATTATTTTTCCACTAATTGCTTTGAATCTCGCAAAGTCCTGGTCACTAAGGAGTTAAATACAGCTCATTTGTGCTTTTCTTTGTTATTTTATTTTCCATTTTCCTTTCAGCTTCTCAGTGATGTCCAGTAGGTTAACTAGTGAATTATAAATCTGTAATGTGACCTTTTCATAACCAGATTAGCAAATGCATTCGGTTTCAAAATTACTATATACGTGTAAGAAACCTTCTTATAAAGTCCCAAGCCTTTTGACACTGCCTTTTGATTCTAGATCTTTTGTATTCGTCTTGCAGCTTCACAGTGATTTTCAAAGCCTTGCTCATTCTGTTTGTTTCATGGAACAATTCCAAGTTTACAAGTTAATCATTATTCTGGAATGTAGTATCTTTCACGTAAGCAGATCAGCAACTGCTTTCAGTTTCAAAATGAATATACTTTTTAGGGTGTGGATCTAATCTGTAATTAGCATATTTCTTCTACAGTTTATCTAAAGCAAATATTGTAGATTACATGCTGATTTAAATTTCCAGAACACATTGTCTTTATCAGTACCATCATATAGAAGGCTTTATGTCTGGTTTCCAGTATGTAAACTTTAAGTAGTAGTAGTATATGTATGGTAGGCAATATGCTGCAAAAATAACTACCACACTATGAACACAGACACGTTTTTTTTTTTTTTTTTAAATTGTATTTCACTGGGCTATGCCGTGATGTTTATTCAAAGCTTAAGGGGCTTAGAACCATAATTTCATAACAAAAAACATTTAACTTTAATTTAAAAAGTGTTAACTTTTACAACCACCGAATTGCTAGTCTGTCTTACCTGACCTCAGGATGACTTTTGCCCCACCGCCTCAACTGGGGTAGAAACTACCCCAGATGAGACCACCCGCAGCCAAAGCCCTTTCTATCTTGTTTTGAAAATCAAGATTGAAACTATCAATTTCAATATTTGAAAAATTAACCTGATCTTTACTACACAGACCAAGGTCCTTCTGATCTAAATAAAAATGTCTGCATGTAAAACCACCAAGCAGTGGCAAAAAATTTAGATATTGCCAAATTCATATTTTTCATATTTTTATTCCCTTCAGCTCCTTTAACTCTTGGTTTACCAACAATCGCAAACGCAGAACCATCTCTGACGAAACTAAAATGGTTGAGGGGAATAACTATCGAAGTGACATAAAAACATTCTTTAGACTATGTAACAACTGATCTGATTTGACAACACCTATATCATTACCCCCCCTAAGTGAACAATTAAAATAGCTGGAGCGTCTGGGTGCAGTGTTCCAGTCCCACTTAGTTCTGCAATGTTAATCATTGCAGTTTTTGAGAAACTGGACTAAGACTGCCTCTAGTGGCTGTCAATCACTTCATGGTGGCAAACAGACTTTGTCAGAGTCTGTAAACTCCCCAAAGGAAAGCATTGAAGTAGTGTTGCATTAGGAAACAAAACGTTAAATCATGTCATCTTGCACATATAACTTAAAACAATCTGATTCCCATCTACCAATGTTCTTGATTGCATCACCTCCAAAACTTAGTTTAGCTGCTTCAGTTGCAGCCCCATTCCTGAAAAAAATAGGACGTAAATTTACCTCTATAACCAAGTCTTTCGACACATAACTGCAAAACCCTCTGAAATTGAAAACGTGTCAGGGCAGAGCCTGCAACATGCACCAACAGAGGACCGTGTACTACCGAGCGGACAGCTAAATAAGCTTGCCCTGTTTCCACTGGGCAAACTCTGCCTGTTTTGATGTTTGACAAATGAATCAATCTTTCCACCTTTCCCATTTGATCTGTTTTTGAAGACTGCAACCAAATATTTACCCTAGAATCCCTAATAAAAAAAACATCCTTAAACTGTAAACCTGATAACCTAAATCTACTAAATGAAACTGATTCGCTGATCCTAAATGCTCCAAAGAAGGCGAAAAAAAGGCTGCTGAAAATAATAATACTTTGAACTGAGAATAACATTCAAAACATCAAGTTAATCTTCTAACACTGGATAAGTAATGGGGCGCCTAACATCAGAAACTTTTAATACTTTTAAAATGCCCTTTTAACAATTGTTTGATTACAAACGCATTAACCACTACTGTTTTACCTAGCATGAAAAGTATGCTACACCCACTAAGTGCTTGGAGACTGCATTCTTAGATATATCATTATTAATACCGTTAATCACAGAAGAAAAAGCAGCTTCTCTATTATCACCCACTGGATGAACGTGGATTCATTTATGGAATTTATACCATGCATCCCAGGCTAACCCATAATCACTCCACGTGTCCTCTGCAAGTGCTTTCATGAAAATAAACCAGCTCTTCCAAGATTAATTGTCATAGTCATTTTGGTCATTCCAATCTCTCTTCCTGCGCATCCAGTACTAAACACTGAAAGTGCTGAGCTGAAAACAAGAAATAGCATCAGCTATTGTATTGTCGACACAGGAATCTGCACTGCCTTTGAACAAATATTATGTTTTAAAAATAACATCGCTATTATTTTGCAACAAATTAATAATGAACATTGTGAATGCATTGAATTAATGACATATATCACTGACTTGTCACAGTGGAACAAAATCATTTTCTGTTTGAGCTTCTTACCCCAGACTAAAATTGCTGATACAATTGGTAACAGTTTTAGCAGGGTTAAATTATTGGTTAACCCTTGTTGACCCAATAATCCGGCCACTGCTCAAAGGCCCTTTTTTTGTTTCAATATATGCCAGAATCAGCTGACCCTGCTGCATCCACTAATTATTGTAATGCTTCATTATCCTGAAATTTGTTTGCAGAAATAAATAGCCATTGTAATCTTGCAAGAATCTTTTCCAAATCTTTAAGTCTTTTTTAAATTTCTGCAGAAATCCTAGCAAAACGGTAAAGTCATTTAATTTTTACACAGGTCAAAGCAATCAATCTATAAAAAATGATTCATGTTTGAATAATGCGACCCGCAAATGCTAATAAGCCTAATAATGATGCAAACTTTTTTTTGATTTATTTATTTTTCTCTGAGTTTGCAAATCTTTTCTGCTGGCACAGAATCTGGCACCTACATTCAAACACAACATAATCAATTGTTATTCTTAAAAATTGAATACATGTCACTGGACCCACTATCTTCTCAACTTCTAAAGGAATGCTTAACTATGGAATAACTCTTAACAACCTAAAATATTCTGAACTTGAATCCAAAGCACGAAACAGAAAGTCATCAAGGTAATGTACAATAGAATATAAACCGCTCTCAAAATTAAAGGACCACTCCACAGACCTAAACACCTCCCAAAAAAACAATAGTTTAGTAGATATACCCCCAACAAATACATGCATAAATATTTTTATGCATGTACTCATTTGGAAATATAGTCAAAAAGAGATTACAAAAGCTGCAGTACTTATGACTGCAGCCTCTTTAAGCCCTCTCCTTTTTTCCTGGAAGAGACTTTAAGTCTCTTCACAGGAAAATAACCAATCAGAGGCTTCTCAATGAGAAACATCTGAAATGGTCTTAACGTGCACGCGCGCACCCTGCCGCGTCTGCACTTGAGGCTGAGGAGCTGATCTAAAGGTCTGTGAGGGAGAGGCAGGCAAGGGAGCTAATGGAAGTAGGAAGGAATACTCCCTGGCTGTTTGATTGACAGTCATGGGGGAGTTCCCAAGTTCATTTATAAAAGTGCTGATTTCTCATAGAAATCTGCACTTTTATAAACTGGGGTTAAGTGAGAGTACTCCTCACCCATAAAGCACCTCAGTAAGCTTAAGTGCTTTTGGGGTATGAAGTGGTCCTTTAATAACCCATTTATTAAAATAGAACTTATCAAGGAATTAAAAAAAAAAAACAGCAAATTGATAGCTCCCTGGCAATAGTCTAAAGGCTGACTCAATGTCCACCTCAAAGTATGGATAGGGTACTGAACTAGTATCCTTATCAAATTCATGAAGCAGCCAGGTAAGATGAATGATAAATTAGCCTGAATGACCTGGGCTCATATTTAGGAATTATACCTAAAGAAGAAAGATGAAAATTAGCAAAAGGAGGGCGGTCAAAAGGTATTCTAGCTAAAGTTAACTCCCTTTGTAACTTCTTGCTGACAGATGTAATATCCTGCAAAACAGATTTTAAATTGTAAACAATCCGAACCTGAGACCTTTGGTATTTTAAAACACTTGTTTGGGTACACCTTAAGACAAGGAAGGAGGATACACCTGAAAATAAGCCCTTCCAGCTGTATTAGTGTCCATGCCTTTTTGAACCTGGCCTCCCTAACTGGACCCTGCAAGTCTTTTATAGGAGCAAAAGGCTGAATGATGTCCACCACAGTTTGAACACTCATATCAATTGGGTCATTTACAATGCCCTTCATTAAAAGGCCAACATAGGCTTTTTTGCATCACTCCCACTGTCAGTTGACTGTCAACTAGAACTGCTAACATCAGTAGCTGGTTTAACTGACAGCCTCTGAGGCAGCATTAAATTGAGCCAAATATTAACATTCTTCATTTCTTCATTTTCGGTACGAATGGACAGCAAGTTTTTCATTATTGTTAAACCATGCTAAACCTCAAATATTTATACGCCTCAAGAATAGCCGCTGCATGCTGAAATAAAGTCCACTACATCATTTTGTCTTTTTTTCTCCCAGTATGGTTGAGAAAATACAAAATGCTTGAAGCCAGTTATTAAAATTATGCGTGATCAACTTACGCTCAACATTTCCACGCTCTGCTCTGTGAATACCTTTGCTGTAGGCAACAGCAAATCAACATACCTACAAACAATATGGTATGGTATATATGGTATTTGGGAAAATAAATTGTAGATTACATATATCAAAATAAGCATTTACATAGTTTAAAAAACAATAATCAATAAACCTCCTTTAGCAATATCCAGTTTAATGCTAAAATATGTTAGGTATTATGTGTGGTATGTGTACATATTCTTTCTAAGTATTTATATTTCACTTGCCTTGTGTAAGATTTAACATTTGGTAGACATTAATATGCTCAGTTGGCTTCTGTGAGCAGATCATGAATAATGTAAAAACACTTGGCATAACACAAACTTCGTTAATATACTCGAATGGCAGGAGGACTGCTTGTAGATCTCTTTCTTGCTCTCACTGTCAGTCAGTTCTTCAGTATAGCCATTTATGCTGGAGAATTCATTAATTTGATTGACAGATGGGAAAGACCTATTTTTAAATAGTTATTTTTTTCTCTCTCTCCCAATCTATATTTTCTTAGCACATTATTCAGACGGCATTTTGTACTCTTTAAATATCACACCATCTAAATAATTGTTTATATAATTTAAAAAGATTTTGCAGAAGATTGTGTGTACAAGTCTATATTATATAACAACAACAAAAAGTGTGAAAACAAAAGTAGCCATTTTAGGTCTTTGATTTTAATAATGTATTTGTAGCCAAGTAGTAGACTATAGCATTTTGTAAAAAAAAAAAAAGAGAAGTATTGGTGTCCCTCTTTAGTTATTATTGGCATTATATGTAGTCCAGGCTGTGGTTATCTACATCAGACATTCAAAGCAGAGTCAGTTTCAAAAGCAGAGCAATTCAGGAGCAAAAACTGAACCATTGAAAACGAATTGGCTGATTGTTATACATAGAATATTGTCCCATAATCTGTATAAAGAAAGCCCACTGTGTTTTCTTTTTTTCTATGACCCTCTCATTTTTTATTATTTGCAGTCACTAAATCTACATCTGCAACTGTCCAGTCTACGATGGGCAGCAAGGACCTGACAAGCCTACTCACTACACCCAAGTATGCCATTCTTTCCTTTTAACTCTCATTTTTTCATATCTCATTTAAAAGAGCGTGATCCCACTTCACCTCCTTCCTCCACCAACCCACTTAATGTTTCTTTGAAATTATAACAATTTCTATTTTTCCCCTTTGTTATTTGAACATTTAGGGTGGCTTAGACCTTTTATAGAAAAATGTAGTATATTGCACTTATCCTTTGTTAAGCTATTATATTTATTTGTCTAACAATAAGAAAAGAACTAAGAGTGAGAGAGAAATCAAGCCCTTACCAGAAATATCTTGCTTGCATGCTTTGACGGCAATATTTTATGAGTGTGCTAGGGATAAATACACCCGGCCATCTTCCCTCTCAATTTTTCCACCCCAGTTTCATATTAGCTGGACTGAAATGGGTTAAAATGTCTCCAATTTTTTATTAGTGTTAATGGAACATATGTTAGGTGGAATGGACTACAAATATGGCTGCGGCATAATTATGCATTTCCAGCCCACAATGCCTAGCATGCCGTTGTTAGGCATGTTTTTTTTAAATGTAGCAGCAGTCAGATGCCATATAGTTACTTACCATGGTTATATATCTTAGTGCATGAAAACATAAGTTGAATATCTCCTTTAATCCATACAGTTACTGTGAATTTTACTTTTTAATACTTTGAAGCTTACTTTTTTATTTCTCTTTGTATAGATTGGGCCTTGAAACAGCACCATCCAGCTCATCCCACGCGGCAATAATCACAAGTACGTCTACACTTAGTGCGTTTCACTCCCTCCAGGGTCGCCTAGTATCCAGCATTGCCCCTGGTGCCCACAGCCAGTCAACCAACACACTATCAGGTGCTTTGTCCATGGAAAACAACCTCACAATGCATTTAAGCAGTGCTTCTTACTTGGGTGGGGTGGGGATGGGGATGCTTTCAACAGTATTGAAGGGACTACTAACATGTACATTTATATTTACTCATGTTTTCTATGTCATTACTGTGAAGAATAATACCTAAAAACTGCATACATTGGCAAGAATTATATTTTACATATGTACACTGTATGTCTTAGTTGTCTGCGTGAGCCACTGTTTCTGAGTAGGACATTCAAGTGGAGTACATGGAAAGACTATGTAATTGTGGTCTTTTCTCATTGATGCAGGTTCAAGTACCGGAGCCTCCGCAAGCAGCCTGTTGCAGGGGTTAAGTTTTAGTCTACAAGACATTGGAGGCAAATCTCCAGCTCTCCCCAACACCTCTTCAGCCACAGTATCAAGCACTCAGGTATACACATGGTTTAAAAAAATGGCACATGTATCAAGGGAAATCATTCAGGGGTTTCTACATTTGTTTTCCAAAGATCATGTGAATTATTTGCATTGTTTTTTGTTGTTGTTGTTGTTTCCCCCCACACACACACACACATTTAAACTCTATTTTTGTAATTTGGCAGACCATGACAGTTAAAGCTCCTGGCTCTATCCAAGGTTTAGCCAGTATAACTACTGGAGCAGGCACAATACTGCGTACCATCCCTGTAGTGACTTCGTCATCACTCGTGGCATCATCTGGTGGAAAACCTACCTCCATTCATCAATTGCTAACAAATGGGGGTCTAGCGAAACTGGCAAGCAGCTTACCTGGCTTGGCCCAGTTATCGAGCCCAGCTGCAGGTAAAATAAAGCTGCCTTATAATATCTAAAGATTACACCAAAGAGTGTTCAAATTATCTATTCATTTATTCATTCACATTTTAGGTTTAAAGGCCCCAACCACCATCACAGTCACTCTTCGTGGTCAGCCTAGCCGTGTTACTAGTCTCAGCCAGGCGGGAATGGGAGCTTCTCAGACCAAGCAAGAAGATGGCACGCATCAAATAGTAAGTATACATACTTCTTGGATCTTTTCTCTACATTAAAACAGATACATCATGGTTTCCATTAATTAGGGGAAAATATAGCATTATGTTCAGTAACACATGTTGTATTTGAAGTACATTTTTTTTTATAAAAGAAACATTCTTATGTTACTTTTTATTTATTTATTTTTTACATTAGAGTTGCTTATTTAGTTTAGATTACTGGATTCTAGACTGTGTGTATGTGTTTGTAAATTTGAGCAGTCGAACTTGCATGTAATCTGGAACGGGCTACTCCTTGCAGCCCAGTACACCCATTGTGAGGTTATCAAGACTGATCTATAGTAGAGTGAAATGTGTCTTATAGAAAAGCATCGAGGGCGTATGGTGCATGCACAGTAATTACTGCCCTTGATTAATCCAGTGATTTTCACATAGAAACATTGGATTCTGTGTTTCTCTATGAGAAGCATTAGCCGCGTTTGACATAATCGTGCTATGTGATGATGCAAAATTTGAAGACCTTCAAAATTCTACATTGTTAAGAAGGATGATCCTTTAGTGTCTGTCTGCTTGACAGCCACTGGAGAAGTATTTTTCCATATGAACAACAACAGTACCTACATCAAGGATGTTTCTCTTTCTAAGGACATGCAGCACTTTACCCCTAAATTTTTATTTGAAAGGTTAGGCCTACCCCCTTATAGGTATAAAAGAAGATACCCTTCAATTATCCCCAGTTATAGTCTGCCCTTAAATATATATTTTTTTCTGCACCTGCAAGAGGTGAGGCTGCTGTGGGGCAGTCCTAGTCTGGGTCTTAGGCATGCTGGAGAGCTGGTATATCCTCTTTGTCTTTTCCTTCCTACTAATGCCAAAAACGGAGGAGGATACGGCTGCAAACTGGGAACGGGTTAGCCAGGTGGAATTCATGCATGCATAATGTGCAATAGTATCTGGGGCCAAATTTGAGCTACTTACAAGCTCCTAAAGGATTTATATAGCCCTGTGACAGCATGTCAAGCGTCTGGTTTGGTCTTTACGCCACAAGTGCCATCACATTTTGGCCTTTGCACTTAAGATTGCTTTTAAGGTAAGAACATTATTTTCTTTTTCTCAAAGAGTTTCCTCTTGGGATTCCTGGTCTTTTTAGTTAATTTTTTTCCAATTTTCAGGCTGTTTTATTCCACTGAAAAAAAAGGAATCCCATGATAAACATGAAATAGAAGAGAGGTTGAAAGCCTTAGCAAAAAAAAACCTGAACATTTGTCTTGTTCTGTATGCAGTATTCCTTTACCTGATGGATGTAAAAGAAAACAGTGCAATGCTTGTTTAAAATAATTTGTTGAAGACGAAAAAAGGCTGAAATATCTTCTTTTATTAGTTGGTTTCAACAAAGTTTACAAGAGACATTGCAAAATGTTAAATCTGCAAAATTATATGGTTAAAAGAAGGACTCCCTCATCTGATTCATTTGAATCTGTTAATAGTTCTTCTTCATCTGACTCTTT